CTAACTAAAGAAATAAAAGAATTGAAACAAAGAATAACTGAGCATCTAGAACAGCACAAAAACAACAGAATAAGGCTGCCTGCATTGAAGCTTGTTCCAAAGAAACAGCTAGCACAAGCATTAAAAGATGCAAATACTGCAATAGCAAGTATAAGCACAATTCACTGCAAGAAACAAACCAACTAATGTACAGCACAGCTGCAGTTATAACAGAATACCTGGGATGTAAAATCAACAAAAAAGAAAAACAAACAAACAGTGCACCACAAAATTGGAAGGTTAGACTAGAAAATAAGATCAGCAAGTTAAGATCACCATGCAAGAGCAAGCTAGAAACAGATGAAAGAAAAGAAACTGAAGAACAAGAAGACCAAAGAATCCCTAATCAAGAAATACCACTTAGAAACAAGGAAGATCAAGGAAGCACTGGAACATAATAAAGCAACAAATAACAGCTATAGCCAGGACCCAAATCAGTAGATATGAAGTCAATTGCAACACTATAGGCAGAACCTCCAATTTCAATCCAATCAGAAACGTTTATACCAATCCATCAATGGGAGAAACTGCAAGGAATCAGTCAGTACCTGGACAAGGAAGAAACAGTGCAGTTCTGGAAGCAGATATGGGATAACCCAAGAAATTACAACAAGGATGCTGGTTGGTAAAAGAGGTGGATACAAAAAAACAGAAGTTGAAATGAAAGAAAACTAGTAATAACAACAAAAATGTAGAAAAAAGAGCAAAGAAAATCAAAAATTGGTCAGCACCAGGTGAAGAGGGAACTGCATGGGTTTTGGTTGAAACATCTAACTGTTATACACCACTCATTGCCAAGCAGTTCAACAATACACTACACGGAGGAGAAATTGAAAAGTGGCTAACAACTGGGAAAACCTACCTAATAATGAAAAATCCAGCAAAAGGGGCAACACCAGGTAACTACAGGCCAATTACCTGCTTACCAACAACATTCAAATTACTAACTGGTGTGGTAGCTGATGCCGTACAACAGCATCTAGTTGAAAACAATCTCTTTCCACCTGAGCAGAAAGGAAACCGCCCCAATAGCAGAGGAACAAAAGATCAACTCCTAATAGACAAAATGATCTTGGAAAACTGCAAGAAAAGGAAGTCCAAACTGAATGTGGCATGGATTGACTACAAAAAGACATTTGACTCTCTGCCACATGACTGGATAATCAAGTGCCTAGAAATAACAGGAGTCAGTAGAAACATCAGAAAATTGGTGCAAAGATCGATGGCACAATGGAAGACACAGTTGCAGATCAATGGTGAGAAGCTGGGAGAGGTTAATATCAAGAGAGGGATATTTCAAGGAGATTCATTATCACCATTACTATTTGTTATTGCACTGTTTCCTCTGTCAACAATACTGAATAACTCAGGACATGGCTATGAAACATCAAAAACATCTGCTAGACTATCCCACCTCCTCTACATGGATGATCTGAAGCCGTATGGAAAAACATCATCTGAAATAGAATCGCTGCTCAACACTGTCCGTATATATAGCCAAGATATTGTAATGGAGTTTGGCTTGGACAAATGTGCCACACTTTCTATCAAACAAGGAAAAATAGTGAAAACTGAAGGAATCAAGATGCCCCACAAAAATAACATTAAGAGTCTGGATGAGGAAGAATACTACAAATACTTGGGTATCCTTCAAGCTGACAACATCAAGCACACTGAAGTCAAGAAAAAGATTAGAGGTGAATACCTCAAGAGAGTGAAGAAGATCTTAAAATCCAAACTCAATGGAGGAAATACCATAAAGGCAATCAACACCTGGGCAATTCCAGTCATTAGGTACACAGCTGGAATAGTGGACTGGACTCAAGCAGAACTAAAAGCAATGGATAGGAAGACCAGAAAAAATAATGACAATGAATCATGCCCTTCATCCACGCAGTGACATTGATAGACTTTATCTACCAAGGCAAATAGGTGGGCGTGGAATGCTACAAGTACATCAGATGGTTGAAGAAGAAAAAAATGGCTTTGGACGAATATCTGAAGAACAATGATGAAGATGCACTGAAATTAGTATATCAGGAAGGCTTACTAACTACTGGAGAGACCAAACTGGCCTTCAAGAAAGACCAAATAAAGAACAGAATAGAGGAATGGGAAGACAAAGCACTACATGGCCAATACATGAAAAAAATAGCTGGGAAAGCAGATAATAATAAAACATGGCAATGGCTAAGAGCAGGAAAATTGAAGAAAGAGACCGAGGGACTAATTCTGGCTGCACAAGACCAAGCCTTAAAGACAAATGCATACAAAGTCAAAATTGAGAAGACAGCAACAGACAGTAAGTGCCGCCTATGCAAAGAAGCTGAAGAAACAGTGGACCACTTGGTAAGCTGTTGAAAGAAGATTGCACAAACTGATTACAAGCAGCGGCATGACAAAGTTAGAAACAATGGTTGCATTGGAAGATCTGCAATAAAATATCATTGCCTGTAAGCAAAAACTCGGCTGTGATTCATAAAATAGAGAAAGTCATAGAAAATGATTAAACATTAAACTTGCTCTGGGACTTCAGAATTTCAAACAGAACAAGCACCTGCAACATAACACCCCCCGACTTAACAATTGTCGAGAAGAAGACAAAAAAGTCTCTGGATAGTGGACGTGGCAGGTGCCTGGAGACAGGCAGAATTAGTCCCATCACACCTTTCTCAACCAGATGAGATACTGACTACTCCAATTACGAGAACCACACGCTATTTGGTCTCGTTCTTACGAGAAAGAACTGGAGAAGATAACAAAATACAAAGACCTACAAATAGAAATAGAAAGACTGTGGCAAAAGCAAGCAAGGGTAGTACCAATAGTAATAGGCTCCTGGGTGCAATCCCAAAACAACTGGAGCACCACTTGAACACCATTGGCATTGACAAATTCGCTATTAGTCAATTGCAAAAGGCGGCCTTATTAGGAACTGATTCCATCCTGCGACGATACCTGTAATACCATCAAACATCCACATCTGCCTATCCCAGGTCCTGGGTAAGGACTCGATAGGTAGACAAAATGCCAAATCCAGTCTGAACATCTGGCTGACTGTGCGATGATCCACCATAATAATAATAATAATAATAATAATAATAGTAAAGTTGGAAGGGACCTTGGAGGTCATCTAGTCCAACTCCCTGCTCAGGCAGGAAACCCTATACTATTTCAGACAAATGGCGGTCCAGTCTCTTCTTTAAAACTTCCAGTGTTGGAGCATTCACCGCTTCTGGAGACAGGTTGATCCACTGGTTAATTGTATAAACGGGAGCATAGAATCAAAATCACGTGAAGTGTTAGTGCCGCTTTGTAAAGCCTTAGTAAGGCCACACCTGGAATGCCGCATCCAGGTTTGGTCCCCACATTGCAAAAAAGATGTTGAGACTTTGGAAAAAGTACAGAGAAGAAGAACTAAGGTGATCTGAAGGCCTAGAGACTAAAATATACAAAGAACAGTTGCAGGATTTGGGTGTGTCTAGTCTCGAGAAAAGAAGAAATAGGGGTGACAGGATGGCAGTGTTCCAGTATTTGAGGGGCTGCCACAAAGAAGAGGAGGGGGTCCACTTATTTTCCAAAACAGCAGAACGTGGGACAAGAAACGATGGAAACTAATCAAAAAGAAAAGCAACCTGTAATTAAACCTCCTAATAGTGAGAACAATTAACCAGTGGAACGTCTTGTCTCTAGATGTTGCGGATGCTCCATGACTGGAGGTTTTTAAGAAGAGATTGGATAGCCATCTGTCTGAAATAGTCTAGGGCAGGGGTAGACAACCTTAGCTCTTTTATGACTTGTGGACTTCAATACCCAGAATTCCTGAACCAGCCATGCTGACTCAGAATTCTGGGAGTTGAAGTCCACAAGTCATAAAAGAGCCAAGGTTCCCTACCCCTGGTCTAGGGTCACCTGCTTGAGCAGGGGGTTGGATTAGAAGATCTCCAAGGTCCCTTCCAGCTCTATTCTTGAATTGAAATTGTCAAAGTTTAGTACATAGGATGTGCCTACTGAAAGATCGGAAAAAGGGACAATTGCTTTCTATTAATGCCCGTTCCCTTCCTCTCTACATCACTATTCAATATGTCCTTGCTTACCAATCTCCAGCAATTGGTTGAAGAGATGTCAGTGCTGAAGAAATAACTTTATAACCAATTTACAACCATTCACAACAAGTGCACGATTCCTCAGTCACATGATCACCATTCCAATTAGTTTGCTTTTATGTTCTGTGTCTCACACATTTTCCCTTCCATTCCCCTCCCCCCATCCCCTGAGTGGAGAGATTGAAGATGAAGAAATTAGAAAAGAGTAAGCAGACACCCAGTAAGCAGCCAGCCATGTTTGCCATGGTCAGCACGAGCACATTGCTTTCAGTGTATCCAGTATTCCCATTGTGGGCCTGCTTACTCTCTTCTAATCCCTTTCTCTGCAATGAATGTATCTACAAACATTAATTCCCTTCTTGTTAATGATCCAGAACTGTAGCGAGCATTTCAAAAGGCCAGAGAGCGATTAGGAGGTGAACGTAAGCCAAAGATGTGAAACGGATCGTTACTCTTTTCAGTTTCAAGCCAAAAGGCACAATCATGGTCACGTGGTTTCCTACTTAACAACCACTTTGATAAGTGATTGAATTGCTGGCGTCAGTTGTGAACACTAAATGAGGACTATGTTACCAATGAAGGAGCACTATGTTCTCTCATTCTTGACCTCAATCTCTTTCACAGAGAAAGAAAGAGAGAGAGAGAGAGAGAGGGAGGGAGGGAGGGAGAGAGGGAGGGAGGGAGGGAGGGAGAGAGAGAGAGAGAGAGAGACAGAGAGAGAGAGAGAGAGAGAGAGAGAGAGAGAGAGAGAGAGAGAGAGAGAGAGAGAGCGCATTCTATAGAGATGATTTCAAAAAGTCCAGTTTGTTCCTGCTGGATGTACAAATATCGATTCCTCCTCACGGCTTTTTTTGGCAGAGGAATATGAGCAGCTTATTGTTAATTTTGGGCATTTTGTCAAACGTGGCATTCCCACCCTGTGAAGCTGCTCCTTCTCTCCTTTTTTGGCAGAAGTTCGTCTCTTTGCAGTTCAATGAGTCTGCCTGGATTGGTCTAAGTGATGAAAATGATGAGGGCATCTGGCAGTGGTCCGATGGGTCCAGATTAACAATACAGTGAGTCTGCAACCACACACTCCACCCCTGGGGCTTCCTGCAGCGGATCACTAAACCTGTGTCAGGCGTGAACAATCAGGGCCACACGGGAAGGGTTCAAACGAGCTACTTTATTGGAAGAGTGCGGTGGCTTATGAAGTTAGGACGCTGGGCTGGCGAGTGGCAGGCTCGCGTTTGAAACTCTGTTGCTGCCGCGATCCGGGATGAGCTTCTGCTCCTGCCAACCCAGCCGTTCAAAAGTGGGCGGCCGCGAGTAGATAGATGGGTACCACCTTAGTGGCGATTTAATGGGGACATGAAAGGAGCCCCCAACTGGGCGTCCCTTGAGCAACAGTGATGTCCACCTGGAAGTGCTTCGGTGTTCTCAACACGACTGTAGTAGTAGTAATTCTTCTCTTGCGTACTTCTCAGGCATCTTCTCAGACCGCTTAAGACTAGATAAGGTTCAATGGTATTCAAGGAGGGTTGGACCTTGCCCTTTGTGTCTATGTAGGGATTCCAGACAGGTCCTGCACTTGACTCCTCCTCCTGACTGGCAACACAGCCTCTCTCCAACAATTTGAGGCAGACTAGATGGAGAGGAAACACAGTTTTGTGGGCTCTTTTGGCGGCACTCTTCAAGTAAGGCTGCTTGCCGTGTAAGTCAGAGCTGCAGTTTCCTACCATACGGAAAAGATTAAAATCGCAGTACAGGTAGTCCTTGACTTAACAACAGTTCATTTAGTGACCGTTTGAAGTTACAACAGGTCCGAAAAATGGGACTCATGACCATTTTTCACACTTATGACCGTTGCAGCATCCCCGCGGTCACGTGATCAAAATACAGACGCTTGGCAACTGATTTGTATTTATGATGGTTGCAACGTCCCATGGTCACATGATCCTCTTTGATGATGTTCTGACAAGCAATGGGGAAGCCAGATTCACTTAACAACCCCATGACTAAGTTAACAACTGGAGTGATTCACTTAACAACTGGGAAAGAAAAAAAATGGGGTAAAATTTACTTAACAACTGTCTTACTTACCCATGGAAATTTTGGGATGAATTGTGCTTGATACTATGTCCTCACGGGAGGGGAATTCAGATTTTGGCGTAATGTCAAGGTTCCGACAAATGAAACTCTTCAAAGAACTTCGAGGCATTGTTTATGTAAAAGAATATTTATTGAGTAGCATAGCATCGGCACTAACAATAATCGAAGGCAAAGTCTGAATTCCCCTCCCCTGAGCACATAATAACAAAGCACAATCCCCTCCTCCAATTAACAGTCATAAATCACATTCCCCAATTAGCTTGAAATGCAGGCTTTCCCTCCTATTCGCCAACCCTCCATTTCTTATCATCTCTTATTTCAAAAAACCTTGGTTCTCACACTGTTATAATATTGTTATGTCTAACTAACAATACACATTCCTTTCCCTCCCCCCCCCAGGATCATCTAATTCTAACTCTAATTCTAAGAGTAACACATACGAAGGAAAATGGCTGCATCTCCAAATGTTGTCAAACCAAGAACATCCAATGTTAGCAGCGTTGACATCTCCATTTGTGCAAGTGGCGGGCTTTCCACGGGCATGCGAGTGCCTGCCGCTCACGTAAATGGAGCTGCGCATGCACGTTTGCCCATCACTTCTGTGGCCCGATTCTAAACGGGTCGTGGCTCCGGGGTATTGAGGACTCCTGTTCTACCCTCTGCATTAGACTTCTCATTTGGGTGAAGCTAGGTCTTACATTCTCCTTTCTTTCTCCCAGGTTCTGGGATGTTGGGAGTCCTACCATCCTGAAGAAGAATGGAGAAATGGAGCGAGACTGCGCTTACATAAGCCCTTCCTCTGGCGTATTTAACTGGAAGGATGACAATTGCCACACACTTAAGCAATGGGTTTGTAAGGAGATCATAGTGATGGAAGATTTAGAATATTTAAGCCAACCCTAATACTTGAAGCCACCCTAGATGTGAACACAGTTTTTGTTTTTCTCCATCTGAAACAGTAAAATAATGAAAGCTCTCTTCTTGTCCTTGCCTCCTGGAAGAAAAGAATAGCCACAAGGCTGACGTCATATATAAGCTCTGCAACCAAGGCCGGACCTCGTTCAACCACCTCCGAAGCATCACCCATGTTTTCAAGACACGCTGCCCAAAGCAACCTGAACTGGTCCTGATTCATAGCACAAACGGGCTGTGTGCAGGGTTCCTCCAGACAGACTGAAATGCGATTGACTAACTTATGGGTCATAGGTGGACCTAACCCAGTGATTCTCAACCTTTCTAATGCTGCGACCCCATAATATAGTTCCCCATGTTGTGGTGACCCCCAACCACTTATACATCACTGGGTGCCAGGGGCGTGGCCAAAGGGGAAAAAATGGCGGACAGCCTTGTTTGGTGACCCCCATGAAATGGTCGTTCGACCCCAAATGGGGTCCCGACCCACAGGTTGAGAACCACTGACCTAACCCAATGTATTCATTTAATGCTGAGCATCATCTTGATGTGAGCCCAAGCTTTCCTGTCCCAGTCATTAGACGAAAGGATGCACCTTGTGTGCATTGTGGTAGGCATCTAGGCATCTGGGTGTCATGTTTTGAGCATCACTTGGACCTTCTCATCTCCAATCATCTGCAGAAGGAAGGTCTTCTCCTTCAAGAGATCGTGTTTGAGACATCCCAGTACATAAACTGGAACACTTTCCATTCTGCAAAGCATGCCAGGGTCTACACCAGGGGTGCCCAACCCCCAGTCCATGGACCAGTACCGGGCCGTGGCATACCAGCAACTGGGCCACACAAACAAGCAAAGCCCCTTCCGTGGGATGCAGGTAGCACACAAAACCATGCCCTCTTTGGTCTGTGGAAAAACCTCTCTCCACAGAACTGGTCCTTGGTGCCCAAAAGGTTGGGGATCTCTCTCTACACCAGACACGTGACGTCGCGCAATGTATCGGGACTATTTTGCCATTGCTGGCAATGGGGTGGGCGCGGCTTCTGCGTGATGTGTCTGGCCCGTGGGCCGGCAGTTTGACACCCCTGCTCTACACAATCCTTTGATGTTATCTTCTCAGCAAAAAAGGGGGAGGGGAGCCAAAGGTATCCCACCATGGTCTATGCTGTTGGTGTTTAGGCTCTGGACTGCTGGTTCTGTTGGAACCTGATGTTAGGTGATGAAAAGGCAGGTAGGAGAGAATGGCAGAGAGAATGGGAGATGGCCTAGGTCAGGGGTAGGCAACCTTGGCTCTTTTATGACTCGTGGACTTCAACTCCCAGAATTCCTGAGCCAGCCACGCTGAGGGAAAAGGGAGAGGTTTCCAAACTGAGCCGTGCTGGCTCAGGAATTCTGGGAGTTGAAGTCTACGAGTCATAAACGAGCCAAGGTTGCCTACCCCTGGCCTAGGTGGAAGGTGAACAACTGGCTAGAGAGAACGTGCAACCTGGCTGGCACGGGGTGGAGAACATGCCATCTGCTGGCTTCCCTTCCTTTTAGGTTCCAGGGTACCCAAGGCGCTAAACCTGCTCATCAATTAATGCCAATTAAGTTCTCAGTGCTCCAGGGAGAAGATACAGTAGACAGTCAAGCTCCTGAGAAGTCTCCTTCCTTTCATTGAGTCAGCCAACCTCTTGGTTCACTGGAGAGCTGAGGACAATAAGGGACATCCGGTGGGACACACCTGGAGGGCCTCTGGAAGAGTCAAGCCCAGCATGGAATGGAGGCCCTCTTGAAAGCCTGCGTGGGATCCTGTTTGGTGGCTGTGGAGCTTTTCCATGCAAGCTAGTGGAGGAGAACCTGGAAGCACCTTCGGTTGTCTTGAGCCAAATGCATCTTGACTTGAACTTTGCCCCTAGCTGAAAGTGGCAATCTGTTTCCTCCCCCTTTTCATCCCAACGTCCCATCCCTATGAGGTGGGCTGGGTTGAGAGAGAAAGGGAGGGGGGACCGGCCCAAATTCACCCAGCTGGTTTCTGTGCGAGAGTGGACGGGACCTCACATTTCCCCAGTTCTTGTTCGGAGCCTAAACAAAGTGGTCTCCAACTTTTCCAGCTTTGCGGATCAGCAGGGGGAGGAGAGGACATGGTTTGTGCAAGTGGCAGGTGTGTGCGTTTGTGCATGCAGCTCTATGTGTGCAAGCGGCGTGCACTCCCGTGTGCATGAAACTCTGCTTCACTCCTGCTGCCCATCGCTCGCACACGTGGAATGTGCGTGCTCGCCTGCCGCTTCTGCGGCCTGGTTCCGAACCCGCCACAGCCCAGTATCAAGCCATGGTCCAAGGGTTGGGGACCCCTGTCTAAACCACTGCCACAACTGGCTCCATTCTTTACTTTTGTGGAACTAGAGAAGGTGAATGGGTTTAGGAAGGGGTGAGGGATATTCCCCCCTTGTTCTTCCTGGCCAGTTATATTGGTCATGATGGTTAAGGCAGGTGACCAATCATTTATCATTGGTGAGAAGTCAATTTCACTACTTAAAGGAAGCAATGGATTTTATAACTATAGAAAAAAGAGCATTTTCTAACTGTTTTAATTCTTCCTGGGTGGTGCGGAGTTGGGAAGGGACATGTTGGCTGTATTCCCATTTCTGGAGCATCCTCAAAGCTCATTTGACATTGCCTTTCTCTCCCACTCACCTGAGGTTTAAGTTCTGGTATTTAACCTTTCCTTCCCTTCCCTTCCCTGCTTCCTTCCTTCCTTCCCTCCTTCCTTCCCACCCTCCTTCCTTCCTTCCTTCCTTCCTTCCTTCCTTCCTTCCTTCCTTCCTTCCTTCCTTCCTTCCTTCCTTCCTTCCTTCCTTCCTTCCAAAATTTTTGCCCCCTGTGTCACATCCAATGAAAAAAAACTTAAAATCACCCATTATAAAAACACAGCAAATAAAAACATTAACAAACAAAATCAGGAGACAAGATGGGAAAGAAAGGAGCCGGACGCAAAGGGAAGGGGGGGGAAGGTGGCGTTGAATTTTAATTAGTTAACTACCTCCACTGTGAAGCTCCCCCATTGGGTCTGCTTCTTAAGAGCATCAGCAGCGACCTAACCAGTGTTTGTATAAACCATTAGTGGCGCCTGTCCAGCACAAATGGCTTATTTGGTGAATCTGATAAGGCAAGAATGCGCTTTGCGGATTGGACTCCGTACGGCAGGGGTGTCAAACTGCCGGCCCAGGGACCGGATGCATCATGCCGAAACCACACCCACCCCAGCTCCGGCAATGGAAAAAAAGTCATGTCACGACACATCACGTGATGTGACGAGTTTGACACCCCTGCTGTACGAGGATGGAGGTTCATCCTCCGAGCTTGTGGGTGGTTCCTGAACGTTTTGTTATCAGGCTAGGAAACATCTTCAGGGGGTGGGTCTTGTGATGGGGAGGTCACGCCAGGTGAGCGTCATTGGGAGGTGAGGTGCTGGTTGGGGGCTGGGGCCGTTGCTGGTTGGCTGTGTGGCAGATTTGAATTCTGAGGGGTTTGTAGGCTGGTTGAACATCAAGCGTCTGTTGATGGAATCTGTCCCTGTTTTGCGCACAGGCCTCCTGGGGGAGGGGGGCTCAGCCCACTAGCCTCAACATGCATGTTGGAGAATGCTGTAAAATGCACGCATCCACACAGCACCAGATTTGGGACGGTGACCCTGGCCGTTGGCCTGAGAAAGGCCCCCCTCCCTGCCAGAGCTAATTTAGTTGCCCACCAGCACAGACAGCTTCTTGGGGCAAAGGAGACCACCACACCAAAGAGGGGCTCTGTTGACTTTCTGTTGAGAAACGCCCAGCCAGGCAAAGAAAGGGGGGGTTAAGTGAGGAGCTAGCTTAGAGTCCTCACGCAGTCACAAGAGACTTCAGACTGATCATCCCGAGGTTCCATGGAAACTTGTCTGTTTGTTCCCAAGGGAAGGCAGATACTCTGGAGAGATTCCTGTACTATAGGTGGAACACAATGAAGCGGTCAATTGGATCCTGCCACGTGTGGATCTGGTTACTTGTGCCTGACCAGTTCTCTTTTGATGGGACGCCTTCACCCGTGCCAGCGGAGCCACGAGCAAAGCGGTGGCCTCTTCTCAGAAGAGGTCCAGGGGCCGTTTCTCAGGGCAAGGCCCCCGTGATGTCACAATGCCCCTTCCCCTTCCGGCTGCAGGTGTGCTGGTGGCTGTGGATCTGGCGAGGGGCCCCAGCAGCCAACTAGCAGGCGGTTTGAGCCGTGGAGGATGAGGAAAAGGAGAGCGGCGCTAAAAGTGGCATCAAAGGGCAAGGAGAAAACAGGAGGAGGAACCTTGTAGGAGTTGAAAACAGGCTCAGAAGATGAGCAAGGGAACACCTTGAGTGGGATCCAGAGTCTCCTAAAGGGGATCCCAAACAAAAGGTTTGTTATGGACAGCCCTCTGTCAGGGATATGGAGGAGTGGACTCCTGGGCTGGGCAGGGGGTTGGACTACATGATCTCCGTGGCCCCTCTCCCCACCGCCTTGCCATTCTGAGTCAACCCAGATTCATCTCTGATGTTGACCCCTGGGTGTTGAGGGATCCCCCTTTTCAGAAAAGTCTGAAGGCGTTTCTTAAACATTCCCAAAGCGTTATCCAGACCCTGAAGATCTCCTTCTTGCAAAGGTTGTGTGTGTGTTTTCTTGGAGGTGTTGCCGCACCAAAATTCACCCCCATCACCCCCCCAAGTCCTCCTGCCTGCAGAGGACCAAATGCAGGAGGAGCCTGACTATCCATCCATTCCTTCATTTATTTATTAAACAAATGTATATGGCCGGCCAACTCACACACGGGTGATTCCGGGCGAAATGTTCCTCGGACTGGCGGCTGCTTTAGCTCCGGGCGATGATGGCCGCCGGGTCTCTTCACCGCCTTCCTCTCCTCTCTGCTTCCTGCCCTGAAGCCATGGGACCCCGGCCGGCCAAAAGCCAAGTTTCGATCATTGCTCCTGGAGGCGAGAAGAAAACCCAGATGAATCCCTTCGGCAATATTTCTTCCACCGTCCTGTGGATTCTGCTCGCCTCCTTGGCCACTGTCTGCCTTGTGGTCCTGACGGTGGTCAGCTACCTGTGTAAGTCCTGCTTGATCCGCTGACCTGTCCTTCCGCCTTTCGTTGGCCACAAGCTGGTGGAAGGGGGAAGGGGGCCTCACCCGCCCCCGTCTCGTGAACAATTCATGGGACGTGTGGCCAGAAAATTGGGGGAGGGTGAACGAAGGGCTTTGTTCAATAGGGGGTGGCTTCTCTCAGCCCCATCAGCCCAAGTCTTCAGAGATGTGGAAGATGAGCGTTGACCTGTGACTGACCATGAGACACCAGCCTCCTTCCAGGTTTGGTCGCTGGGTGAGACCACCTTGGCCTAAATCCCACCCACCCCCAAGACAGAGAGGAAAAGGGGGAAAAATGGCCCGGAGTTCACTCTTCACCCACCGGACGTGCAAAAAGGATCCGATTTAAGCTCCGATCTTGTAGTCGGCTTGATTTCAGGTCCCCTTGTAGCCAGATCTGTCCGCGTCTTCCCACGGACTCTGCTGGCCTCCCAGGAAAGGCCCAGAGAGAGTCCCAGATCTCAGGAAAAAGGTATGCAAGAAGCCGCTGAAGGCAAGACGCTGTTGGGCATGAGCCAAATCTTTCTTTGGTGGAAGAGAAATGGACAGAGCCGGAATGTCCCCCGAAAGAAAGAAAACAGCGGGTGTGTTCTTGTCATTGCACTGACCGAACAGTGTTGATGTACTTGGTGATTCTCCAGGCTTGCCCTGAATAACCTTCCCTTTGTATCCCATTCGACATTTCAACTTCCTTGGACACATTTGGGGGCCTGTACGGCTCTCCACAGAGCTATGGGACCCCCCCCCCCAGAAGTGCATTTTTGCTCATACCCCCCTTTTCAGAGAGATTTGTTTTCTCCTGGATGACGGGTGTCCCAGAGGTAGAATAACGCCTGCCTTGGCGCGGCCATCAGCTGCTCCCCCATTTCTCTCCTAAACCCTTCCTTTTTCCACCCAAAGCTCTCACCAAAGTCCAAAACTTGGGTCTCTGCACAACCTTCCCTCTAAAACTCCCCCGGCTCTTTCTCGGGGGGGGGGGGGGAGAGGATTTCAGGTGTGCCACAGATGGGGCTGTCATGTCGGTGTTTAAACATAGGGTTACTAGCTAAGAGGTTGAACTGGGGTAGCTGGAACCCTCCTGTCCCTGCTTTGCCCACCCCACAGATGCGGCATTGGTCAGCAAACCCCCCCATCCGCTCGAGGAGTCGATGAAGAGGCTGGGGACCACCATGGCGGTGGGCCTGAGGAGTCCAAAGCTCAAGCACGAAAACCGTAAGTGGTTTATTTCCGATTGGTTGAGCATCAACTCCCCCCTTGAAAACATCAGAGGAGGCTCTTGGAGACCCAAGGAATGACATTTCCACTGTTCTCTCTCTCTCTCTTTCTCACTCATTCACTCTTTCTTTCTCTCTCTTCCATGTTCTCTGCCTGTCATCTTTCTTTCTTTCTTTCTTTCTTTCTTTCTTTCTTTCTTTCTTTCTTTCTTTCTTTCTTTCTTTCTCCTCTCTTTCTTTCTTTCTCTTTATCATCTAGCTACCTCTACTATCTATCTATTCATCCATCTATCATCTCTCTCTCTCTCTCTCTTTCATATTCTCTGCCTGGCATCTTTCTTTCTTTCTTTCTTTCTTTCTTTCTTTCTTTCTTTCTTTCTTTCTTTCTTTCTTTCTTCCTTCCTTCCTTCCTTCCTTCCTTCCTTCCTTCCTTCCTTCTTTCTTTCTTTCTTTCTTTCCTTTCCTTTCCTTTCTCCAAATTCCCAGTCTGAGTGGGGAGTGGGATACCCTCTAGGCAATGGGCATCCACTTCTGAGCATTGCCATGTGTCCATTCAGGCCAAAGGAGGGAGGGGAAGGCCTGGGATGCAAACCTGGGGGCTGCAGATCCGGAGGGCCCAATTCCTGGGCTCTGTAAGAGGCGGAGGGGCTGTAGAAGCTCCCCTCACCCTGCTTTCCTGAAGTCTGACAGCCCAGGGAAGTTTAGGTTTTCTCTGTAAATGTGCTGGGACATTTTTGTCAGGGTCTCCATGTTGTGCACCGTTGTCCTCCAAGAAAAACGTTTCACTGCTGCCCTGTTGGTTTTGTCAAAAATGACCTGTTTTTAGAATAGAATAGAGCTGGAAGGGACCTTGGAGGTCTTCTAGTCCAGCCCCCTGCTCGAGCAGGAGAACCTATAACATTTCAGACAAGTGACTATATAGTCTCTTCTTAAAAAACTGATGAAGTGTCCACAATTTCTGGTGGCAAGCTGTTCCACTGGCTGATTGTCCTCCCTGTTAGGGAGTTTTTCCTTGATTCCAGGTTGCTTCTCTCTTCGATGAGTTTCCATCCGTTGCTTCTTCTCCTGCCCTCTGGTGCTTTGGAGAATAGGTGGACCCCCTCCTCTTTGTAGCAGCCCCCCAAATACTGGAACACTGCTATCATGTCTCCCCTTTTTCTTCTTTTCTTTAGACTCGCCAAACCCAAGTCCTGCAGTCGGTTCAAAACAAAAACAATCTCTTAGCTCTACAGGGGTGGTTTGTGACAATTGGGCAGGAGGTTACCGATATTATTCTCGTAAAAAGCCTTCCCTACTTTGGAGATTGCACTTTGGGGCCGGAAAGGCGGGATGGAAAGAGCCACGGAAGGCTGTGTGGACAAGGAACAAACTTCTCTTATGGTCCTTTAGCCCAGAAGGTCGCAGAGGAAGCAGTGAAGCTGCCAGACCACATAAAAGACTGCGGGAAGAACTTCAACGAGCAGAAAAGGAAGTACAGTGAGTAGCAATATTTCCCACTTCATAGTGCTTTACATCCTGAGTGGCCCCTCGTGGTGCGCCTTGCCCAGAGAAGCGGTTCCCAGCCAGGCACCCAGCGCAACTCCTAAACGGAGACTCTACATATTCTATGTGACCGTTTGCCCTCCTTTCCTTGCTCCGGTGCCTTAGAATCGGAACCGCTTGCTCCTTATCGTCCCCTTTGTCCTCACAAGGACCCTTTCAGAGAGGCTAGCGGTGAAACCATCTGATATACCCGGGTGGTGGGCTTTTGTTCCTCCCCCCCAGTTACTCATTGCCTTGTATTTTTTCTCTCTCCCCCCCCATTTTATGCAGATTCCCTCTTCAGGAAGAGTCGAAAGTCTGCGATGGAGTGGCAGCCTTTTGGGAGTGGCCTTTACTACGTATCCAGGGGGAAAAAGTCCTGGTACGATGCGGAGAACTTCTGCCTGTCCAGAGAGGCCCATCTGACCTCCATCCTAAGCTCTGAAGAGCAGGTGTTACGTTTCTCTTCTGCTGCTTCCGTTCCCTTCGGGGTCCTTCGCTCTTCTGCTCTCCTTCCGCTCAGATATTGCACGGCACGAAGGTTGCTGTGGGTGCTTCCCTGTTACAGGTGGCAAAGTCATTCCCGATTTTCAGAGAGGTTTTAGTGAGAAGATCGGTCAGGGCAAAAAATCCTGTCCTTTACTGTTTTCTGTGGAGATTCCCCATCCTCCAGGTCCTGGTTGCCCCAAAGGTGCTTTCCCCCCCAAAAAAAGGCAACTGGACTTTCTTGGTTTTTCCTCTGGGGGGAAAAAATCTCCAAGGAAGTCCAGACAAAGCACCTTCTCCATTGTTGTTCTCCCCCCAACAGCAGACTTGGGGGTGCCCCAAAGGCTGCTTCCGGGGGGGCCTCTCCAGTCAGGGAGGGCCAAAGATCACCAGGCATCTTCCAGGTTCCCCTGCAATTCTTGTCGCTTCCGTGGGGCATAGTCGAGGGGAACCCTCCTTGGGAAAGTGGGGTAGAGAAGCGCGAAGGAAGGGGGCACTTTTGGGGAGATTCCCTGAAGGAGGAAAGCAAGTTCCCCAAGGCGCTCTTTCACGAGACAACTGGACTTTCTTGTTTTTCTTTCAAGACGTTTCATTTCTCACCAAAGAAGCTTCTTCAGCTCCGAAACGTCTTCAGAGAGAAACATGAGGACCCCTCCCCAAATTTTTCAGACCTTTTTAAAGGTCCCCCAGAACCGTCCTCTTAAAAGGGAGGACCTGGACACTGCATTGCTCCCACAGCTGAGGGCTTCCTTGGACTGGTGGGTTCCCCACATGCATTTTGTGCCTAGACCAAGACTGCTTCTCCATCTCTTCCTTTTGCCTTGCAGAACCATGTGACCTCGCAGCTCACCCAGCCTGCCTGGATTGGCCTGACCGACGGGGGTCGAGGAAAGTGGGAATGGACCGACGGCTCCAGATTAATAGCCCAGTGAGTCTGCCAAGGTTGGGCCCAGAGGGGCTGTGGTCACCTGCCATCAGGAGCCGCAGGACCCTCATTCTTTGCTCGTAACACCAACGCAGCAGGGATCTTTCCTGCCCTGTGATGGGGCAAGCTAGAAACCCCTCTTTCTGAGCCTCACATAGGCTTCGTGCATAGGTTTCCCTGGCCACAGCAACGTCCACGCTTGCTGGCCTTGCTCTATGCTGCTCAGGTAAGGTTTTGACACACGAACAAGGATGTGTAAATATATGAAAGTAAATATGCGTGTCCCAGGATAATGTTGCAGCATCCAATATGAGTCAGTCACATTGCAATAAACAAGGACATGCATTCAATTTCACAACTATTACTATTGTTGGCTGAGCAGAGACAAAAAGTCAGGGAAATGATTGAAACCTGCGAACTGGGCCCCTTATCAGTCAATAGGAGTGCTGATTTACCATCAGATTATCAGGTACTTAGGTGCTGAGGGTGCAGTGGCACAAGGAGACATCAATTAACGACTTAATAGCCAGCCATCAATACCCCGATTAACAATTACAAGCTACACACAACCAGGAACTATATCAATGCAACGTGTCGAGCGGCCCAGTGCACATATTCTGGAGAGAGAGAAGTTCCCTGAGGATGGGCTTCAGCATGATCCCAAAGCTTGGAAGAATAAACCTTTGGTCCCAGTGACTGACTCATATTGGATCCTCCAAGGATTGTTCTTCTTCCCTTTTCATAATTCCATGTGAAAGTCCTGCAGAACATTCTAGAACGTTTTGCCCTGCCCCTCCTCTAACAAAACCGTCTTGTCCACACAGGAAGTTGTGGAGAATTTCAAGGACTTGGGAAACCTACCCATTTTGCATTAAAAAAAAAAATCAAGGATGATGAAAACCTGAGAGGGAGTCAGCGTGAGGCCACTGTGTCTCCAGAAATGGGATTGCAGAGTGACGCTGTCTCTTTCCCAGAGAGGCTATGCTGGGACATACAAGATCCATTCTGTCCAATGGCCGTTTCTGGGGACACCTGCAAAGGGGTGTATGTCAAAGAAATCATGTCCACGAGATAGAGCTTTGCTCTTTTGGGCATGCGTCCATGTGGACATCCCAGAACTGAATTCCCTGAGTTGGGAAAGGGGGAAAAGAGAGAGAAACGTATTGGGAAAGACTGGGGTTTCAGCAGCAGGAGAAAGGGGAGATGTTTCTGAGTGATGGGCACTGCCTGCCCGTCATTTACAGTGGCATGGCCACCAGGGATGGCTGTCTCTCCATGTCCTCCTCAGTCTTCCTTGGGTGTAAAATGGGCCTTTTCCCTCCTCTCTCTCTCCAAGGTTCTGGTCTCAGGGCCATCCCGGCCACTCGGAGCGCCCTGGAGACGGAGAGCAAGGCTGCACAATTATTGTCCCATTGTCTAAAGGGCTGAACTGGAATGAGGTTGACTGCAATCAGCTGAATAGATGGGTCTGCAAAGGAACTCTGGGTGCGGAAGAGCCCCAAATTCACCAAACACATTGACCGGAGCCGATGAGATGGACTCAGAAAATCTTCACTGGGGAGTCAAACCCCACCACTTATGCCCGATCAGGAAGAGGCTGTGGATGGACTCTTTCGTCCGAGCGTAGTTCCTCCAGCTGAGAGACAGGAGAGAGGCTGGTTTTATGTGGCCTTTCCGTGTCCAGGTGTGGCCTTTTTTCAGAGCAGAGCCAGCCAGACGGCGTTCAGAGGGACGTCATAATTCTGGCCTTGAGGCTAATTCAGGCCCCGAAAAAGCCACAGAGGGAGTGGACGGGGACTCTCCTGGCTCAGCAGTCAGCTGTTATCTCTACCGAGAAGATTTTCCTGAAGGAACGAGCGGTGATCTGACTCATCTGTCACCCCATTGGTCGCCAGGGTGGATTCCACTGATCGGACTGGCTGGCTGGCTGGACCTTTCCTCCCTCACTGCCCCATGTGTGCCTCTTCCAAAGCCCTGCATTTGGGGGAAAAAAGGATGACCACCCCAGATTGAAGGGGTGCACGGATCTTTGGTTGGGGGGAGACGATAGCTGCGCTCCCCTTCTTGCTGGGAGCTCCAAGGAAGCAGAAAGCCCAGGGCATCCTGGCAATTTGAGGTGCACCAGTGGCACACTTCGAAAGGTAGAGCCTGCCAAGGTGTTAACATAGACTTCTTACTAGAAGCTGCTAGGAGAGTCCAAAGATTTTGTGTTGCAGAAATTTAACAACAACCGCAATAAAAATAAAATAGAAGACAGTGCCAGGAAATACCCAGCCGCAGGTCCTGGAACGAGAAGTTGGAAAAGCAGGCTGGGGGAAGGAAGGGTCCAACCACATCCGTCTCTTTCCCAAGAAAACTTCCTGGACGTGTCCATAAGTCCTCCAGACGTCAAACTCAGCTCTAAGAAAATGACCTCAGTTTTCCCAGCTCTCAGCCCACCCAGAGACCCCATAATGCAGAACAAAGACTGTGCACCTCTAGAGAAGACTGCAAGAGGAATGGTTTCCTTCCTTCCTTCCTTCCTTCCTTCCTTCCTTCCTTCCTTCCTTCCTTCCTTCCTTCCTTCCTTCCTTCCTTCCTTCCTCCTCCCTCCCTTCCTCACTGTAACTCAGCATGAGTTCATGCCCTCCCTCCTTCCCCTCTCTCCCTCTCTCCTTCCTTCCTTTCCCTCTCTTCCTTTCCCTCCCTCCCTCCCTCCCTTTCTTCCTTTCTGGCCACCTTTCTCATCAAAGCAATTCTGGGTGGCAAATAAAGTTCAAAACTAAGAATCACTGTATAAAGAAAATATTAAAATGTATCACAAAGAATTTTTAAAAATGGTGTCTGAGAATTTCAAAAACCGCACAAAATAACGTCAGGTCTCCTGGCCTTTCCCAACTCCCTGACCCCAATCCGTGGGGCAACTGCCAGATCTCGGCATTTCCCTGAAGGCTGGCAAGGTGGAGCCTATCCTGATCTTGGTGGCAAGCTGGTCCAGAGGGCAGGTGCCCTGGCTGAAAAGGCGTGTTTCCTGGGTCCCACAGAGACCTTCTTTAAATGCCCCTCCTACGGGGTCCAGCCGAGCGGGCAGAGACCACCAGAGGGAGACAAGGCTGTGGGTGTTTGGGCCCCGTACCATAGAGAGCTCTGCAGGTGACACCCAGCACTTTGAATTCTCAGTTGGGCACAGGAAGTCCCGCCCTCGCCCCCTGCTGGGTGGGGTCTGGTACTTTCTCCTCTTCGGTTGAACCTCCACGTGAAGCCGGATGGGATCATCTCTCATCAAAGGCTGAGATATCGTCAGTGTGCCGATGACACCCAGCTGCCTGTCTCGATCCCTGGTGGCTTAAGCAAACGGACCCTTGGCCAGGCGGAATGGATCTACAGCTGGAGTCTTCAGATGGTGGAGAATTGCCGGGTTTGCTTCGGGGTTCAGTTCCAGCCTGTCCCTTTCAAGCCCCTTCATGGCTTGGGGCCAGATTATGGGTAGGACCGTCTTTCCCCAGTTACCTCTCCTTGACCCAGCAGAGGTTGTCGTGGGTCGGCTCCGTCGAGAGGTCCACTCCGTAGCACAAGGAAGGAGAAGGGCCTTCTCCGTGGTGGCTCCCTCCCTATCCTCCCAATGGAGATTAGACTAGCCCCCTCCTCGATAGGCTTCCAAATGGCCTTTGGTTTTGCCAGAGGGTCTGGAGGTCACGGGGTGACATGGAGCCCATCAGGTGGCTTGTCTGAATGTTGTCACCAGGAAGTAGAGGCTGATTGGCTCATTGTATTTGGGAGTTTCATGCCTGGAAGTGCCTGGAGTCCCTGTGAGTGAGTAGAGCGGCCATCTACATTCCTTTAGTAAATAAATAAATACATAAATAAATAAATACATAAATAAATAAATCACATTCCCCCAAGATTTTGGGGGGTCTCAGCTGGAGGACGGAGGGGCAGGAGAGGGTCCTGGAGAGGGTCCGTGGGGACCAGGCCGTGTAGGGCTTTCAGGGTCAAGCCCAGTTTTATAAATTGATCCCGGAAGCCAATGGGAAGGCAGTGCACTGGACAATTGTGTTTTGTGTTCACAATTTGTGCCATTGTGCATTGTGCTGAAGTAGTGCAAGGTCGGAAGAGGTGGCCCGGAGAATCACCAAAAGTCGGACACGACTGAATGGATAACATCACCACCACCACCACCATCATCACCATCATCATCATTATCATCATCATCACCACCACCACCACCACCACCATCATCCTGTTGAATTCTGGACCGAATGGAGCACCTGAATGGTCTTCAAGGACAGCCCCACATATAGTGATGACTGCAGAAGTCCAGTGGATAGAAACAAACTCTCTCTCTCTCTCTCTCTCTCTCTCTCTCTCTCTCTCTCTCTCTCTGTGTGTGTGTGTGTGTGTGTGTGTGTGTGTGTGTGTTTGTGTGTGTGTGCATGCACCTTTGAGTCAGTCTTGACTCCTGGCAACCATGGGGAAGTCCACATGCTTTTCTTGGCCTTTGCCTTGCCTCCTTCTTCCTGGGGTTGAGAGACAGAGACTGGCCCAAAGTCACCAGCTGCCCTCGTGTCTAAGGCAGAACTAGAACTCTCTGTCTCCCGGTTTCTGGCCTGGTGCCTTGAACCCCTACAGCAAACAGGCTCTCCAGAGTGGCCACTTTGCGCTACGTAGCAACTCAGGAGGAAGGTGGGGTAGAGCTGAGCCTCCAGAGCTACTGAGAATCGACTCGGCCTTCCCTTTGAAGAGAGGCTCTACTCTCACACAATCCAGGGCCAGGCCAGGTATGTGTGAACTATGGGAAGGACGCCAATGGCTGTTTCTCCAGGGCTGCCCCCTCTGCACTGCCATCACAATCCATCCACAGCTGTGCTTTGCTAAGGACCCGCAGCAGCCAATCAGCAGGCTGCTTGAGTCACAGGGCAGGGGAGGCCTTCAGCTGGGAAGAGAAAGCAAGCAAGCCAGGCCAGAGGAAAGAGGGACCACTCCATCCAGATGACAACGTGTGCAGAAGTCAAGTGATACAAGAGACAAGAACAATAACTACCTAAGGAGATTATCAACAAGGAGGTACAGATTACCCAAAAAGTTCCTTGTTAATTGGCCAGGACAATCAACATCTTGAATTGCACCCAAAGATCCTGGAGTAATCAGAGCAGCTCATGAAGTGAAGATGCTACAAATAGCGAGAAGTGCCCATAATTGCCTGGGTCACTATTCTGCATCAACCCTAGCAGGATAAGATACATTGCAGAAGCCCTGAGAGGGAGGAATGAGTGACACACAGGAACGGCCTCCTGAACCGCGAAAAGTCACCCCCTGGTGCACGAGGGATTTGTGCAAAGACCTCCCACCCTCCTGGTTGCCATGGTAACCCCAACATTCTGCAGACCTCTAGCAACCTGCATAGTTGGGGATAAATGGCCACCAGGATGGGGGGGATCACTAAGCAATGTGGGTCATGTCATTCGCGTTTTATAACCAGCTCTTTCAGCGATGGAAAATCCAGTCCCAATTGCCACTGTAACCCAAAAGCTACCTGGAGATTTAATTAGAAGCGTGGTAGGGCCAGTTGCCAAGAATCCAAATTTTGATTACGTGACCATGGGGATCGTGCTACAGCAGTCGTAAGCATGAAAAGGGATCATAAGTCCCTTTTTTTTCAATGCTGTTGTAACTTTGGACACTAAATGAACTCTTGTTAAATTGAGCACTGCCTGTAGGGCAGCGGTGACGCATGCAAGGGCACAGAAATGGGGCAAAGGATTGTGGGTGCGGCTTTGGTCTCTTGAAGTCTTAATGTCCCTGACGTTTTTTTCCTCTTTCCCTCCAAGCCATGGCTCCTAAGAAACCCGCCGCTCCACCACCTCCGCCGCCACCGGATGAAGAGGAGATTGACTTGTTTCAGAACCCGATTAAAAAGGTCCCGGTCAAGTACCTGTGGATGGGCATCTTTCTTCTTACAGTTATCTGCCTGATCATCTTATTCCTAACAATTAAAGCATGTAAGTTTAGTTCTTTTTTGTGACGGGACATTGTCGGTGGGAGCCGAATAAGCTGGGTGGCCTTTCTTTCGTGGTTGAGGCGGAGGAAGTAGTGTCAAAAAAGGATTCTGGCTAAACTTAGCAGGAAGCAGAGCCCAGTCTCTCTCTCTCTCTCTCTCTCTCTCTCTCTCTCTCTCTCTCTCTCTCTCTCTCTCTCTCTCTCTCTCTCTCTCTCTCCCTCCCTCCCTCCCTCCCTCCCTCCCTCTCTTACACGTTTGTTCCGCCATGGTCTGGAAGAACCCCAAATGCATTTTGAAGCAAGCGTCTATAGGTTTCTTAGTCTTGCTGAGTTACCTAACAGGGATACTACTTATAAGAGATCACTCAATCAGAATAGAGCTGAGGGACCTTAGAGGTCTAACCCCCTGCTCAAGCAGGAGACCCTACAACTTCAGACAGGTCCCTTCTTAAAAACCTCCAGTGTTGGAACACCCACAACTTCTGAAGACAAGCTTCTCCACTGATCTCACTATCAGGAAAATTCTCCTGAATTCCAAATTGATTAGTTCCCATCTGTTGCTTCTTCTCCTGCCTTCTGGTGCTTTGGAGAATAGCTTGTCTCCCTCTTCTCTGGGGCAACCCCTCAAATATTGGAAGACTGCCATCGTGTCACTCCTGGTCCTTCTTTTCTCTAGACTACCATGCCCCCTTTCTGCAACCGTTCTTCATAGGTTTTAGACTCCAGGCCTTGAATTATCTTAGTTGCTCTTCTCTGCACATTTTCCAAAGTCTCAACATCTTTTGGGGTGATGTAGGGACCAAAGCTGGATGCGGTATTCCAGGTGTTCTTCAAAAGCTCTTCAAAAAGATGTTGTTTTCAATAAGGCGTTCTTCAAAAGCTCTTCAGAAGAGGTTGGATTGGTGAAAGCTGATGGTCCAAGCATCAAGAGGGCATCTTCAAACCTTAACCTCTAGATGTCTCTATCACTCTAGACAATGCACTGCTTGCTGAAGACTGGAGTCCTTACGATGTGCCTATGAAAAAACTGAGGACTACTTTGTCAATTGGACTTAGGAATCGTAACGTCATGTATTACCAAAATCGTAAGTAAAAAGATGATCCTGACTTCTGACTAGTTTGGGGCCACAATCCTATTTGGAGACCAGGGAAGAAGAAATGAAAGGCCCAGACTGCCAAGTAACATCATGGTTGGAAGAGGTTGGAAGAATGGTGTGGAGTCTGTCTGGCACACAAGGCTACGGGTGCTCCTTCGTTCAAGGGGGTCTTGCCCAACACCAGTTCCAGGCTTAGTTTGTCCTCCATAGTGAGGGTTGTGAACGACCTCCTGGCAGTTTCTCCTTGTGGAGTGTTTGCCTCTGCTTCACGGATCCCAGGCCCTGAAGAGTTTGCTGTTCCAACTATTGACCGTGGAAGTGACTCTCCCCTTTCCCCCAAAGTCTCCCTCCGTAAGGCAGGTGGGTTTTTTGACCCCAGCAAGGAGGTCAAGGGATACCCAGTCAGCAACCTGGAATTAGGATGAGTCCAAGGACCTGTCTAAGGTGGCTTGTGGTTAATGAGGGTTTGTGCTGATTGCCAGAGACAAGAGCAAAGCCAGGTAAGGCTAACAGTTCGAAAGGAAGCAGAATATGATGCTGAGGACAAGGGATGGGCAAGGGGACAACAAGCCCATTCATCGGGACGGTGTGGACTCTGAGGGCTTCGGCAACCTTGGTTGAGCTCTGCAGCCTTGAGCAGCCCCTGTGTGGGGATCCATCTGAGGATTAGGGGCTGTGGAGTCCTCGGTGTTCTCTGAGCCTGGTTGGGTTTTGGGGAGAAATTTCATCACCCAACTAGCTAACATCTCTAGCACTGGAGACGATAGCGAGTTGGGGAATGGAATATCTCCCAAAAACAATAACCAAGCTCAGAGGCCACCCAGGACGCCACTGTTCAGCCTTGAGCTCCAAATATTCTCTTCTCTAGATAATTCTAGGTCTGTTTGGCCAGACCGGGAAGTTTTTTTTAAAAAAAAATCTAGAAAGGCTGGAAAATAATCCCACCCTCCTGATCATCACTGCCCTTTCCTAGACCTTCAAGGGGGGGGGAGGCATTTCCAAAGCCTTTAAATCCGCCAGGGTTTCTCCACGCAGGTGTCTGTTCTGTGTGTGGGACAGGAAATCAGCTTCTAATTACATCTGGCTTTAGCCCTAAAGGTGTCAGCCATAGTAGAGGACATTCCGCAACATTTAAAAGACTCCGAAGAAGCCTATCGAGCAGAGAAAAAGAAGTATCGTAAGTCTTTTTGTCTGATCCTATCTCTTATTTGTTCTCATTTTATCCCAGCCGAGTAAAGAAGAATCTTTGTCCTATCTCTTATTTGTTCTCATTTTATCCCAGCCGAGTAAAGAAGAATGCCATTTGTGCATCCTGTACTCAAGATTTATAACTTTATTTTTTGCTTAATATAATTTTTCTGGAAAAAAGAAAATCTTCCTTTTTTTTCCTTTTCTTCCCCTTCTCCCTCCTTCCTTCCCTCCCTCTTTTTATCCTGGAGTGAAAAATGAAATCCCTCTTTCTCCTTCACCTCCTTCTTTTTTCTTTCTTTTTTCTCCTCCTTTCTCCTTGTCCTTGATCTCCCTTTTACCTCTTTCTCTTCCTCCTCCTCCTCCTCCTCCTTACAACCACAGTTGAGTCCCAAATTTCTCTAGCTAAGCAAAAAACGTTAAGTGAGTTTTTGCCCCGTTTTACGACTTTTCTCGCCACATGTGTTAAGCGAATCACTGCAGTTCTTAAATTAGCAACACGGTCATTAAGTGAATCGGGCTTCCCCCCCCAGAGACTTTGCTTGTCAGAAGGTCACAAAAGGGGATCATGTGACCCCAGGACAGTGCAACCATCATAAATGTGAGTCAGTTGCCAAGTATCTGAATTTTGATCATGTGACCGGGGGGTGCTGCAACGGTCGTAAGTTGGAAAATGGTCATAAGTCCCTTTTTTCAGTGATGTTGTTAACTTAATTCGTCATTATCACTTCTGGTCAGAGTTACGGGCTGAAACGCAAACGTTTGATGCCCAGGCGTGTTGTACTGCAGAACCACCACCTTCAAGCAGGATTCAAAAACTAGACAAGGACGTAAAAGTATCCACCAGTGGTCACTCAGCTATCTTCAGGAAGGTTACCAATACAGACCAGAGGTCAGCGGCCTTCTTCTGCTGTGGCTCCCCAGGAGCTGGCAGGGAACAGCAGGGAGGCTCCAGCCCTCAAGAGTAGCAGCTGCTGGATGAGGCTCCAGCGTGTGGCTCAGAGCAAAGCAGAGCCTCCCGGCTCTGGTGGCGCAGTGGTGAGAATGCAGCATTGCAGGCTGACTCTGCCCACTGCCGGGAGTTCGATCCTAACCGGCTCAAGGTCGGCTCAGCCTTCCGTCCTTGCGAGGTTGGTAAAATGAGGACCCAGATTGTTGGGGGCCACAGGCTGACTCTGTAAACCGCTCAGAGAGGGCTGTAAGGCGCTGGGAAGAGGTATGTAAGTGCTGGTGCTATCACTCTTTCCTACAGTCAGAAAAGGGATGTGGATAAAGGCCATGTGAATGGGTTGAGCCTCTAGCTCAGGGGTGTCAAACTGCCAGTCCGCGGGCTGGATGCATCATATGGAAGCCGCGCCCACCCCATTGCCAGCAATAGCAAAACTGGCCCGACACGTTGTGCGATGTCACGTGACGTCACGAGTTTGACATGCCTGCTCTAGCTCTTCGATCATGTGTTTAGGAGGCCGTCCATCAAAATGAGGAGTGCGGGAACTGACCCAGAGAGACCCTTATTAGTGAGCAACATGACGGAAGACGCAGTGCTCTGCGTTGTAAGGTGCACCCCAGGGACGCGTGAAATGTCTTGGGCTTCTGCTAAGCCGGAAATAAGAGCGTTTGGAGTTTGGAAGGGATTGAGTCCCAACTGAATTCTGTTTTTAATGCGCTGAGGATAGACAGACGCAGTTAGACGCAAAAACCGAACTCACTCAAGGCAGATTCTGCTAACATACATTTTTTCTCTTTGCGTTAATTCCTCTCAGAAGCTCTGTACAAAAAAGGGGTGAAGTTCGGTAACGACTGGAAGCTTTTTGGCTGGAATTTCTATTATGTTTCAAAAGCAAATGAAAGGAAAACCTGGCATGATGCTGAGTATTTCTGCAAGTCCAGAGACTCCCACTTGACCTCCGTCCTGAATGAGGAAGAACAGGTTGGGTGTATTTTTTTCTTCTTCTTTTCCTCCTCGTATTTGGGGGCTTTCGACACAGAACTCCATCTTGGCTAACTCTTGCATCTTTCTGTCCTCCTCTGTCTGTTGTTCTTTTCAATTTTCATGCACAAACGTTTGACAATTTTTTTGCAAATGTGGTTGCATCTGCTCCTTTCTCATGTAATCTGAAGCAGTGGTCTGCAAACTGATCAAGGAGAGACCCAACCTAGAACTAAGGAGAAATTTCCTGACAGTGAGAACAATTAACCAGTGCAACAGCTCGCCACCAGAAGTTGTGAATGCTCCAACACTGGAAATTTTTAAGAAGAAATTGGACAAACATTTGCCTGACATTGTATAGGGGCTCCTGCCTGGGCAGGGGGTTGGACTAGAAGACCTCCAAGGTCCCTTCCTAGTCTGTTATTTGTATCTTAACCAATCAGAACAATCATCAATAACATTTCATCTGTATAAATCCAAATCCTATTTTTAAGCTTTACTATTTACAATTAGTGGAACAACCTGCCTTCAGAAGCGGTGAATGCGCCAACACTGGAAGTTTTTAAGAAGAAACTGAACAGCCATTTGTCTGAAATGGTATAGGGTTTCCTGCCTAAGCAGGGGGTTGAACTAGATGACCTCCAAAGTTCCTTCCAACTTTATTATTATTATTATTATTATTATTATTATTATTATTATTATTATTATTATTATTTATTAATACCATTTCTTCTTTTATCAGAAATCCCACTTATTCTCCTTCCATTACAAAATAGCTATCCTTCCTAAAAATAAGAATATTACTCCAAAAAATATATTTCTACTCTATTTTAAATCTGTAAGCTATCAATCAATCGATATCTATGAAAAATTCTTTTAACCCACTCAATAAAGTTTAAATCTGATCCAAATAATTGTTATATCCACAACAAGCATATTAATACAGAAAAACATCTTCTTACTAAGTTCACATATTTGATTAATCTTTATTCAATCAAGATCTCTAAAGCCTTATTTACCTGTCAAGTAAAGTTTTAAATCACATTTTTAAATCTAACTCTGGCTTTCTTTCTGTGCCAGTCCGGTTTCCATAATAGAGCTTCTATAAAGCTTCTTTTCTCATTGCCTCCTCATAGATCCTGTTTACAGAATTCTTATTTAAATTTGTTTTCCCCACAATATTCAAAGCATTCTTACTAATTAAGATTTTCTCGAAATTAGTTACACTTAATTATTTAAGTCTTTTTTCTCATACAAGCCATGCCAACACTTTTACATTTCTCGTATCTTAAAAAAGGAAAAAAAAAAACAGAAAACATTTCTTTTATATAAACCATCCCAATAATTATATCTTTCTCATGTCAAAAAACAAAACACAAAGGAAAAAAGAAAGAAAAAAATACTACGTTACTTGAGGGGTTCATCCATCTTAAACTAATCTTCATTTATATCCAAAATCTTTTTATTTCTTTAACCATATTCAAACAGATGTTTAATTTTTAAATATTCCCTCTGATAAATCCCATCATCTAATTTTTTAATTCTCACTTTAGCCTTTTTTTTCCCCCAAACATTTTTCCTGATCAATATGCTTCGCTGAATCAAAGAATCTTTCCATAGTCTTAAAAATGTTGTTGCGGGTATAAAAGGCAAAACAGGTAAGATGTTTTTATAGGAAGATTTCGCCCCTTCATATTCATTGAGAATCTTTTCCTTTCTTTTTTTCTTGATTTTATTTATCATTTTTTTGTCTCTCAAGTTCTTGTAGTTCTCCTGGCAGAATCCATTTTGTCAAATCTTTTTTCTCGTCCTCAAACTTATTTTGTAATCTTAGGGTATAGGTTATCTTTTCCATGTCCAGTATTTCCTGTAGGTTTTTTTCCATCTGAGTTAAGTCATACTTTCTTTTATTGTTAAGTTCCATTTTAAAATCTTTTTCCTTGGTCTCATATTCAGTTGTCTGTTTTTTCTGCTCACTCTCTGTTTTTATTTTCTGAGAATTTTTTGTTGTAAAGTTAAATTGGAGATGTGTTCATTTATATTTTCAAAGTTATTTTTAATTTCCTCATGGGTTGAGATCATTGTTGTTTGGATTAGTTGCAACATAGCATAGATCTCCTTCTGGAAAGTATTTGTTTTTTCTTGGTATATTCTTACTGCAGATCTCTGGTTTTCCATGGTCGCTAAAAATCAGGGTTTTCCTTTCTCTCCAGACAGCTTTAGAGTCACAGTTGAGTTGTATTTGTAATCCAGAAAGGTCAATTCTTTTTTTTTCTTTTTTTTAGAGTTTATAATTCTCACTTTGTAGATAGCCCAAAATGTTTTTTTTTTTTGTCACTGCTGTTCTCTGTTATTAAGACATTAAAGGTCACCAAAACCAAGTTATCTTTTCCTAGGCTTTGCCAGTCCCTGCAATAAAGCAATTGCTATTGTATATTTTCATCCACCACTAGATGTCAGCACCAGTCAGTAATAGACAATTGTTTACTTCTATTTTCATGATTTAAAAGAAAAATCTTAACATATTCCACCGATTTCAAACTTATCCAAATTAAGTCTTATATTCATTTCATTTCAATATATTTCTGTTCCCCCTGAAAAGTTTAATTCACTGTTTCCATCTGTTTCCCCCCAGGAAATCAATTTTCAAGTAGAAGAGAGAAAACCACTGTTCTTACCCAGTTCCAGTCAACTTAAAGTAGTGCTTTTGGGCTTCAGCTGCTTGTAGCTTGGGCTAAACTCTGAAGTTAAGCTAGCCTTTCTCCTGCTGGTTTCTGGAGGGCTTTTCTCAAAGCTGTCTCTCCACAATTGGTGGGACTTCTTTCCTTCTTTGTTGCCTCTATGGGACAACTTCAGGCAGAAATTGGCTGTAGGGTGCGGACCACCACGATCCCTCGGCTGCTGCACCACTGCGCAAAACCGGAAGCCTGCTACCCATGTTCTTGGTGTGCTTTTATTGAACAAGGGTGGGGCATAAAGGTGGAAGCCCCCATGTCCCGTCTTCAAAATTGCGATGTGACTTACCTCACCACAGCATGGAGCTGATTTTTCTTCGGGCAGAGCGGAGTCCTTTGGCAAACAACAGTGACCTGTTCATGGTTAATTTTAAGCACTGGGGCTACACAAACCCAGCCCTGAATCTCTGATTATATTTCTTCTGAATATAATCAATCCATCTTCTCCAAACTGAAATATATTTTTCTTGTAAATAATCCTTCAGATATGCAGAGATTTTTGCCATTTCTGCTAAATTAGACACCTTAAGTATCCATTCTTCCATAGTAGGCAAAGAATTTTTCTTCCAATATTGCCCTACCAATAATCTTGCAGCTGTTATCAGATTCAGCATCAAATTAATTTCTTTAACATCAAGATCTACAATAACACCTAACAAAAATAATTGCGGCGTAAACTTTATCTTTCTCTTAAAAATCTTTTGAATATTCCACCAAATCTTAATCCAAAAAGCTTTTATATCTTTACAAGTCCACCAAATATGATAATAAGTTACATCTAAGTTTCCACATCTCCAACATTTGGGCTGTAAATTAGGATACACACAGGACAGCTTTTGGGGATCCAAATGCCACCTATAAAGCATTTTATAAAGATTTTCTCTTAAATTTTGAGCTTGAGTAAATTTTACATTTCTAACCCAAATTGTCTCCCATGTGTCCAATAGAATCGGCTCTTGAATATTTTGAGCCCATTTTACCATACAACCTTTAACTAACTCCGTTTCAGAATCCAATTCTATTAAAACATTATAAATTATCTTTATATGGGCTCGAGTTTGATCTTTAATCTGTTTTACCAAATTCACATCCTCTAAAGTAATACCAACCTTTTGATCTAAACTCCACCTCACTAACAATTGGTTGTACTAAAACCAAGAACGTACAATATTTTCTTGCTTCAATTCAGCTAAAGCTTTTACCAGCACTGAATCTCTTGAGTGTGGAATCCCGTCTTGTGAAGTTGCTCCATCTTCCTTTTCATTTTTGTGTCTTTGCAGAAGTACCTCTCTTCCAAGCTCAACGAATCTGCCTGGATTGGCCTAACGGACGAAAATGTGGAAGGCTACTGGGAGTGGTCGGATAACTCCAGATTAATAGTAAAGTGAGTCTCCAGGTTATGTTCATTTGAAAAGTCGTACTTAGAAGCAGTAACTTTTCAGAAACCATGGTCAAATTTAGGCTCCAGGCAGCTCGGATTGGCCTGGGTGCTACAAAGCATGCTTAATGCTTGCAGGTTTTATGCTAAACATGGAGTTTATGCATGCTTCCTGTCGTCCTACGATACACTGGACCCAGACAAGACAACAATATTACGGCTTTGTACAATGACCTGCTTTCACATAACCTGCTGAGAAAATGGGCTGCGTTTCCAGACCGAACCGAGAATGACCCAACCTTGCCTAATGTCGTGTGAACGCAGTTCATTTGTGCCAATTCTTGGTCCAAGGCTGGCTATGCTTTGGAATGGAGCAAAGATTTTGGCTTCTGCCTTATGGATATCTCATGCAATCGGTCCTCTTCTCTTCTGCATGCGAGCCCTGCAAATTCTGGCTGAAGAAGCCCACACTGGCCTGATCTTCCATCTCCAGGGATTCTGCCAATCTTTGTGGACCATTTTGCCTGGGAAAGTGAATGACAGGGGCAGCAGTGGGGAGAAGAGGGGCAAGTCCCCCAGACATCCTCCACGCCTCCTTATCCTTACTTCCACTCAACGTGGTCTTTCCTTTAAACAACTTTGTACTCCTTTGGCTGCATGGAGAAGACCTCCAAGTCCCTTCCAGCTATTCTATTCTATTCTATTCTATTCTATTCTATTCTATTCTATTCTATTCTATTCTATTCTATTCTATTCTATTCTCTGTCAGTCCTGCCCCAACTTGGTCCCTTGAGTAAGAAAGACCCTCGACTCCATTCGGTGTGAAAGGTTTACTTTACTAAAGGCGAAGTGGATTACAGTACAGCAAAGTCAGAGCTGAAGTTTGCATGCCAAACTTTCCTGGTTGACTTCCCCCATCCAGATCCTCCATCCTTGCTGGTCTCTTATTGTCCAATTATATTTGAATAAATTGTCTTGGGAACTGTCTCTGCAACAGTGGGTGGGTTGGTGAGCCATTATATTCCATTCTCAGCGCTTTGACCTTGAGATGGTGTCTCTGGAAGGGACAAGTCATGAGTACCCCCCCCCCCAGACTGGCTCCCTCCCCCCCATACTTCATGGCAGGCTTGAGCATATGAGGGTGGTTCTGACACCAACCTTCCCTGTCTCTCTTTTTAGATACTGGGCCGAGGGCAATCCCAATGGATCTGTCAGAGATGGAGAAGCAGATGAAGACTGTGCTGCCATAAATCCCTCAGGAAGTGATTTGAACTGGATTGATGCCAATTGTCAAGAACTTAAAAGATGGGTTTGTAAGGAGACTATAGAGTTTGAAAACACATAAAGTTCCTCAACCATGTTAACTGGAACAGGATTAAATGTGGAAAAAGATGACTTTTTAGAATCAAACCTCATTGGAATTCTATAGCAATCACAAAATAAACAGGCGCCTCCAAGTATTAGAGTCTCCTGTATGATACCTATAGAGGCAAGCTACAGGCGGACACTCACACATACTATAACTTTTGAGATAGTGTATATGGAAATGATCTTTAGGCTGCATCTGAGCACAACAATCCACTTCTCTCTCTATTTTTCTTTCAACTACTGAAACACACAGAGTTGCTAGTTCATCATTTCATCAAAGTCAAGAAATAGCAAAAGAATGGAAACTGGAATAGAGTCTCTGAGAGATGCTTGCCTGAATGGTTTGCTACTTCACAGCAGTGCACAGAAGAATAGTCCAAATTAAGTCCAAAGTTGCGAGACCTAGGTCAAAGTTGTCAACTGGTCCAGAGGTCAGAATTACGCAAGCAGCATTCATGCTAACATCACGCAGGAGAAAGAGCTTAGACTGTCATTTCCAGCAAAGAAATGTGGGTCAAAGCTGCCTCTTCAGTCAGGTTGCAGCCAACGATCCTCAATCAAGAGATTCCCTTGCTTGGCAAGAAGTCTCATGGAACGTCCCTGCTCTGCTTTTCATTCTGCTCACGGCATGGTTGTGAGAGTTGGAAAGAAAGTTTCCAATTCCATCTCCTTGAGCACAGGTTCTCCACAGGGCTGTGTCCTGCTGTTCACCTTGATGACCCACGACTGCTATGCCAAATCTGCTACGAATCATATTGTGAAGTATGCAGACAACAAGGCAGTGGTGGCTCTTATCTGGGATGACAGTAAAGATGCTTATAGGGAAGAGGTGAAGGCTCTGGTGGACTGGTGCAATAAAAATAACCTGGTTCTGAATGTTGATAAAACAAAGGAAATCACTGTAGATTTTAGAAAGAGCTGGCATAGTCATACTCCACTCAGTATCAAGGATGCAGCTGTAGAGGTGGTCAATAGTATTAAGTATCTGGGGGCGGGGTGCAGATAACTAACAATCTGAATTGGTGTCTCCACACGTCATCCTTAGTGAAGCATGCAAACCAGCGTCTGCATTTCTTGCATTGGATGAAGAGAGCACATCTTTCTCCTTCTGTCCTGGACACTTTTTACAGAGGCACGATTGAAAGCATTTTACAAACCGCATCACGATGTGGTTTGGTGGCAGCAGTGCTTCAGACAGAAAGTCCATACAGAGAGTGGTGAGGACAGCCGAGAAGATCATAGGAAGCTCGTTCCCTGGTGTTCAGGACGCTGCTTATAAACGTGATGTGCTTAGAACTTATTGTTAGAGACCCACACACTTACTTTACAGTCTGTTTCTGTTGCTCCCCTCTGGGAGGAGGATTCGAAGTATTTATAGCAGGACTACCCGATTCTGTAATAGCTGTGCTCCCTATGCCATCCGCCTGGTAAACTCACAAGGTTCATTTTTCTCGCCATGCACATGGATACATAATCCGAACTAGACTGTTGTTTCTCTGTGTCATATAATATGTAGGTATGTGCATAATTCTATATTTATTTATTTATGTCATACTTATGTAGTGTATATCGGAGGTGGTGACCCTTTGAGAGCTGTACGCAACAAAATTTAATTTTAATGTATGCCGATTAGTGTCCACTCCAAGTGACAATAAAAGTTATTACTCTATTCTATTCTATTGCACGTGGGAAGAGTGGTTAGGATGCTGGGCTGACAATTTGCAAACCCCTGTTCGAAGCCCGAATGCTGCTCAGCATTGGGGTAAACTCCCATCATTTATGCCCGCTCCTGCCCATCTAGCAGTTTGAAAGCGCGGAAACACCAGTAGATAAACAGATGCCGGTTTGGTGGGCACAAGCCAAAAAACCCAATGCAATCCTACGTTTCAATCACAGAAGGACAGAATCCAGATCACATGAACTGCTCATACCCCCTTATAACGCCCTGGTAAGGCCACACTTAGAATATGGCATCCAGTTTTGGTCACCATGATGTAAAAAAGATGTTGAGACTTTGGAAAGAGGGCACAGAGGAGCAATAAAGATGATCAGGGGACTGGAGGCTAAAACATATAAGGAACGGTTGCTGGAATTGGGTATGTCCAGTTTAATGAAGAGAAGGATGAGGGGTGACATGATAATAGTCTTCCAATATCGGGGGGGGGGGCTGCCAGAAAGAAGAGGGAGAGATTTAATCTCATTTCCAAAGCAGCAGAAGGCAGGACAAGAAGCAATGGATGGAAACAAATCAAGGAGAGAAGCAACCTGGAGCTAAATTAATTAATGAGTGGAACAACCTGCCTCCAGGAGCTGTGACTGCTCCAACACTGGAAACTTTAAAGAAAAGACTGGACAGCCATTTGTCCAAAATGGTGTTCCTGCCTGAGCAGGGGGTTGGACTAGACGATCTCTAAGGTCTCTTCCAACTATTATTATTATTATAACACAAAAGGTACCCCTAAGTGGGCATCGCCTGGACAGGGGTGATGTTCCTCCGCATGGCATGGCCAAAGTAAGTGAGACTTACAATCTTTACCATTTGTAAATCAAGGTGATGGCATTAGGCGGCGGGCTTGGAGTGAGTGCGAGGGTTTTTCGTATCTTGAAGGGATTTTCCTTAGCTTTAATTAAGTTGCTGGTATTTGCTGTACAGGAGGCTACCCTTGGAAAGTATCTGGAAGCGTCAGTTGGGGCAAAGTGCAGCCAGGCAGGCAATTTTAAGTGCCCAAAGAAAGGCACGTGTAACACCTCTCCTCTGCAAGCTGCACTGGGTGCCGGTTTGTTCCCAGGTATCTGCGGAGATTCTCCACCATCCAGGTCATGGTTGTCCCAAAGGTGCTTTTCCTTGGCTTTGTCCTTGAAAATGTTTCGCCTCCCCTCCAAGAAGCTTCTTCTGTTCTGACCGAATGGCGAAGAATGGAAGGATTTTTTTTGCTTCCGGGCCCAATTCAAGACGTTGGTTTTGACCCATAAAGCCCTACACGGCATGTGGCCAGGCTACCTACAGCAGGGCTTTTTAACCGGTGGTATGCATGGCACCTGTGGTACTTTGCCATTTGGCAGGTGGTACGCGACCGTCCTAGAAAAGTGTATGGGGCATATCATAACAGCAGCAAGGTTGGTGTATGCCCAGAACTGGAAAAATGGAAATTCCCCGGTGGAGAGTGAACTAATTAAATTTGTTTTGATATGTGCAAAGATGGATAGAAATTATCCTTAGAAATTAAAGACAAGGATGAAACGGAGTATTATGAAGTTTGGGATAAGATGTACTATTGGTTAGCCTCGAGGAGAAAAAGTCAGAACAGAGAAAGCTTGTCCAGAAGAGAGAAAGTGTAGATTTCCAACCTGAAAGTGAGCGTAAGATAGAAAGAATATGAAATAAGAAGGGAAATGGAAGTTATGTTATAAATAGACGTATGTAAATATATAAATATGTAAATAGTATAAAATGCAATATGTAAATGGTATAAAAGATCAATGACTAGAAAGATATATGGTATAGTATGTAAGGCAAAATAACAGCCAGAAAAGTCACACTGTGTTCAATCTGTTTTAAAATGTTTACTTAATAAAAATTAAAAAAACAAAACAAAAAGAAAAGTGTACAGGGGAGGGGAATGGGCCGAATGAAAGTAACTGTCAGAATCCAATTATATTTCATCTCTAGTTATCAATTATAGAAAACCCCATTTCTGCCTTCTCTGGATTCTGTCATAGGATGAAGGGAAGGGGGTGAACAAAGGGGCTTTATGGCCCTCACTTCCTTCGGTACACTTCAAGGGAACTGGGTGTGTGTATCATCAAAAGGACTAACCATAACAATGGGACTATTACTTTTCATGTAGTTTTCTCTGAAGAAAGGAACTGGATGTGTGTATCACCAAAAGGACTAACCATAACAAAAGGGGCTATTACCTTTCATGTAGTTTTCTCTGAAGTCTCCATCCAGCTGGCAGTAAGGAAAAGGGGGTGGGAGTGTAATGCCTGAGAATGTTGCTGGAAGTTGGGGGTGATTGGGTGGGGCTACTGGGGAACCCCTTAAAACCTTGAATGGGAGAGCTTGGACCCCAAGTCCTGTCTAGCACGCCTGCAACCATTTTCTCTGAATAAAGGATGCCTGTTGGAAGAATTATTCCAAGAGTTCTGTCTTCTTAAGATGCAAAGTGGGGTGGGTCCTTACATTAACCTGGTTCTAAATGTTGATAAAACAAAGGAGATCATTGTAGGTTTTAGAAAGAGCCGGCATAGTCATACTGTGGGAGAGGCAGCTGCTCTCTAATCTCACAAGGCGACTGTCCGTCAGAGAGGCGAGTGTTACTCCAAGTATCGTATTTTCTCCCAGAATACAAAATTACGGCAATTACAAAAAAAACAAAAAAACATGTTTTAAAGGAGCACAGCTACAGCCTCCACAGGTTCATTTGCAAGCAAGCTTCAATCCTAACTTAAAAAAAAAATATTCTGTATATATTTCCTAACTGCATCTGGTTTTTTATATTGGACTGATTTCCCCCCCCCCCCCTAACCAATCTGGTCATTTCTTGCAATTCTCCGTTCCCAATACGGGCTTTGCAATGGCGTCTGGCCGCTTCTGCCAAGGAAATCCCAGGCAGACCATTTTAAACCAGTAGAAGAAAATTCAGCCTGAAGTGTAGTATCTGCAGAGGACCATCTGAAATCCACAAATTAAAATGCAGGTTTCTGAGGGGGGGGGTGTCAAAGGAGGAAACTGAAGGCTAAGTGCTGGATGCTGATTGGGCCCAGCAGCCAGCCAATGGGAGAGCGGCAGAAGTTGAATATTCTACATCATAAGGGAACAAACTGTCAAAAACTGTCAGAAGGAAGATCCAGCTGAAGACACAAAGAGTTAAGTCCAGCGCAACTCCAAGTCACAGTGCAATCCTGGTAGTAGACTAAGAGTCCAGAATTTGGGTAGGTATCTATCCTGTTTCTATGCTCACCACCCTCTATCAGTGGGGAGAGGAATCAGGGAGAGTAGAGTAAGAGTAGAGTAAGAGAAGAATAGAGTAGAGTAGGGTAGGGTAGGGTAGGGTAGGATAGCGTAGCATAGAGTAGGGTAGGGTAGAACAGAACAGAACAGAATAAGAGAGTTGGAAGGGACCTTGGAGATCTTCTAGTCAAACCCCCTGTTCAAGTAGGAAGTCCTATACCAGGAGTAGGCAACCTTGGCTCTTTTATGACTCGTGGACTTAACTCCCAGAATTCTTGAGCCAAGTATTCCTGAGCCAGCAAATGGTTATTTAATCTCATCTTAAAAACTCCAGTGTTGAAGCATCCACAACTTCTGGAGGCAGGTTGTTCCACTGATTGATTGTTCTCCCTGACAGGAAATTTCTTCTCAGTTCTAGGTTGCTTCTCTCCTTGATAGCTTTCCATTCTTTACTTCTTGTCCAGCCTTCAGGTGCTTTGGAGAATAGCTTGACCCCCTCCTCTTCTTTGGGGGAGCCCTTTAGATATTGGAACCCTGCTAGGGTGTTCCCCCCTAGTCCTTCTTTCCATCAAACTAGACCTTCCCAATTCCTGCAACCGTTCTTCGTATGTTTTAGCCTCCAGTCCCCTAATCCTCTTTGTGGCTCTTCTTTGCCCTCTTTCCAGAATCTCCGCATCTTTTTTATAATGTGGCGACCAAAACTGGATGCCGGATTCCAAGTGTGGCCTTACCAGGCCGTTATAAGGGGTACGAACAGTTCGTGTTATCTGGATTCAGTCCCTCTGTTACTGAAACGTAGGGTTGCATTGGCTTTTTGGGCTGGTGCTGCACATGGTTGGCTCACATTTAAGTGGTTGTCCACTAGGAGGACATATAACCCAGCTTAGGAGATGTGAGTCAATTCTGAAGCTGTCTCCATTTCGCTGACCACTTTGTCTTTTTAAGCAAAATGTTTGGATTTCCACTTACATTAATTCTCACAATCTGCTCCATTCACCAGCTGTGCACATTGGGATGAGATATTACATGTATTGATGAGATAAAATGGCTCCCAAACCACCACCACCAGCAGCAAAACGTAAGTTATCTTATCTGTTGTCTTTTCCTCAAAATATGTCATCATCATCATCACCATCATCACCATCATCACCATCACCATCATCATCACCATCACCATCACCGTTGGAAGGGACCTTAGAGGTCTTCTAGTCCCTGTTCAGGCAGGAGACCCTAGGCCATGTATGGGAACATCAGTGCCCTACTGGTAGACTTCCTTCTTGGGAGGATCCTGAAGACCACTTATTGACTTGCAAGACATAACAGAGTTGGAAGGGACCTTGTAGGTCATCTAATCCACCCCTCCGCCCAAGCAGGAGACTCCACACCATTTCTGACAGATATGGATGATATCTTACTCCAAACTGTGAGGTTCTTAACGATCTCTGAGCTTGGCTCTTTTCTTGCAGATGTTTCATTGTCTAGGCAGTGCACTGATGCTGTTACCTAGTTGGCTTATGAAATGTCTGCAAGGAAACCACCAAGATCAAAGAGCACCAAGGACCCCACAGTCATCGTCGTCATCGTCCTCCTCCTCCTCCTCCTCCACAAACCCCACTCTCTACTAGCACTGACAATGATACCTAGTTGGGTTATGAAATGTCTGCAAAAAAATCATTAAGCCCAGAGAGCACCAAGGACCCCAAAGGCCTCCTCCTCCTCCTCCTGTGCTCTCCCCCGCCTCCTCCTTTCTGCAAATCCCACTCCCTTCTTCCACTGATGATGTTACCTAGTTGGATAATGAAATGTCTGCAAGAAAACCACCAAGTTTACAAAGTATCATGAACCTCCTCCTCCTCTCCACAAACCCCACTCCCTACTAGCACTGACAATAATACCTAGTTGGGTTGTGAAACATCTGCAAGAAAGCCACCCAGCTCAGAGAAGACCGAGGACCTCTCCGTTCAATCCTGATTTCCAAATATCTGACTCAAACTGCCAGACAATCTCAGCCGGCACTTTCTTGTAGATGTTCAGTAAAGCAATTGCGGGAAGAGAAAATACAAGATACAAGTTCTGTGTCACAGACATTTGCCGAAGACAAGGGTCCCAACGCTGAGGAGACCCTCCATGCTCATTGCAGTGGTCCTTGGAGAGAGGGGGGCTTGCTTTCCCAGAAAGAGGGACCCGGAACAACAGAACGGCAGCGATTCTATCACCCTTTGGGGTGGAGAGGTGGGAAATCTAAGGGCCCTGAACCCTAGAACAGTGTTTCTCAACCTTTTTAATGCCACGACCCCATAATACAGTTTCCCATGTTGTGGTGACCCCCAACTACTTATACATCACTGGGTGCCAGTGGCGTGGACAAAGAAGAGGGGGGAAAAATGGCGGACAGCCTTGTTTGGCGACCCCCGTGAAATGGTCGTTCGACCCCAAATGGGGTTCCGACCCACAGGTGGAGAACCACTGCCCTCGAGCCATTTTTATCAGCCTCTCTGATTGGTAAAGAGGTTTGGGGGAAGTCATTGAGCCAACGGGAAAAGGACTTTTCTATCCTATTCTACTTTTCTGTGGTAACAAGGCAGCTCTCAAGGATTCTATTGCTGATTGGAATGGAATTCCTGCAGGTTCTCACCTGGTAAAACAAAGCTTCCTTGTTAAGGCCGCCTGCTTGATGAGCCTTTAGGCAGACATTGGGCTTTGGGGGGAAGGATTCCGGGGTGATGCACCAGCCTGGGGCTGGTCCTGTTTGACATATTGGAGCTCAGTTTGTTTTCTGTTCTTTTCTAGCTCCAGCGAAAGGCCCAGCGGGTAAGTCTGCATCCGAAAATCCATCCAGTAAGTCCAGTGATATCCGAAAAAGACCTGGTGGTCCATTGACGTTTGTCCTCTGAGTTTGCTTGTGTTTTGTGTTCTTTTTAATTAATTCATTATTGTTTGGTAAATGTTGTTTTCATTTTTTTTATTTTTCTGCTTTCTTGTATGGTGGACTTATGTTTACCCTAAGCATCATGTTAAAGCTGAATTACTTATCTGCAGAAGGCAACTAGTAGAGCTTAGTCCTCCTCCTCTTCTTCTTCTTCTTCTTCTTCTTCTTCTTCTTCTTCTTCTTCTTCTTCTTCTTCTTCTTCTTCTTCTTCTTCTTCTTCTTCTTCTTCTTCTTCTTCTTCTTCTTCTTCTTCCTCTTCTTCCTCCTCCTCCAACTCCTCCTCCTGCTCCTCCTCCTCCTCCACCTCCTCCTTGATTGCAATGGAATTCCTGCAGCTTCTCAACCAGTAAAACAAAGCTTCCTTGTTAAGGCCACCTGCTTGATGAGCTTTTAGGCAGACATTGTCATTGTGGGGGTAGGATTCTTGGGTCAGGCACTAGCCTGGGGCTGCTCCTATTTGACATATTGGTGGTCAAATTGTTTTCTGTTGTTTTTCTAGGTCCAGCGAAACCTTCACGTAAGTATGCATCAAAAAGATCTGTGCAGTATATCAGGTTTGGGGGCCCAACCTGTTCTTAAAGAAACATAGAAAAGACCTGGTTGTCCATCAAGTCTGTCCTCAGAGCATGCTTGTTTTTTGTGTTATCTATCTATCTATCTATCTATCTATCTATCTATCTATCTATCTATCTATCTATTTTTCTGTAATTATTCTTATATTGATTTATTTATTTCACTTTTGTCAGATGGTGGACATGTGTTTATCCCAACCATCCTTCAAGTTAGTTATCTGCAGAAAGCTACTAATAGCGCTTCAGAGAGAGGAGAGGTGCAAGGGAAGGGAGGACCAGGACCCACTCCAGGCAGAGAAGGAATGGAGACCCTCTGCTCATACTGGCATGCTGCCAGAGGAAGCAGAGGGAGAGGAGGGTCTCCTCAGAGGAGGACTCCCAACACGGCCCACAAAAACCTTTGAGGCCACCAGTAGCAGGGGGGAGATGAGGGAAGCCATTTCCGGTAGAAGGAGCAAACACTGAGGGTGTTCCATTACAAGGGAGAGACAGAGAAGGGCTCTCTCCTAAGGGAAGAAGCCCACGTGTCAATTTGGTTATGGTTAATTGTCTTTCTACAGGGGGCTTCAGGCATGCCTAACAACGTTTGTTGCCCAAGGCCAGCCATTGGTCTGCCGAGAGTGAGCAGAGTTGGTCCCAATTGTGGTGCTACGTTAAGCTGGCTGCTTTGGGCTCGTGGGCAGAGCGACAGCATGCAGGATGGGCTAATGGTGGTGGGGTAGTATTAGAAAGATGGAAGTCCATCCTCGGCCACGGAGACTCCCTGGGGGAAGGGAAGAAGCACGTGAGGCTGTGTCAACCCAAGACAGTTGAGGAGCAATTAGGTCCAAGGCCCAATCTATTGGTTCCTTCTTGGTCTGGGTGCTGTTGAACCCTTCAGCGGTGTGTGCCAACTCTGCTGCCTGCTTACTCAGTGACGCTTGAGGTGGAAGTCATGTCTATAATCTACGGCCACCACCATAGAGTGAAAGGCAGATTGGACATCTCCTCCAAAGGTGATGAAGGCTTCTCATGAACAGGTTTGCCCATTGAGGGCCCAGTTCTGGAGCAGTTGCAGATCAGGATCCCACCGCAAGTGAAAATGCATCATGAGGTTGGACAAACACAATCCTTATTGTTACCTCCTCAGATCATTTCTAATCAAGGCTTCCTTTTCAAAACACAGGGCCCCCAACCAAATTAGAATTATATCTCTCAGGCTACAATTGTGCAACGATCGGCGTCCTCTTGCTCTTCTGCCTATTTTTGTACACCCTTTGGTATATCAGTTTATGTAAGTTTTTAATTTTATCCAATTAATTTATCCATGCTGAGGGTCTCTAATGGGTTGTGGGAAGGAGCGTGGGAGATGGAGGGAGTATCCAAAACCAGACAATGGCTGGAGAAGAGCCAGGTTAGCTGGCAGCTGCCACAGGGGCATGGGAAACAGCCTCGTTTCTTGGGCTGTAAAGGTGAGGGGGGGGAGAGGTGGAGTTCCAGAAGCTGTTGATGTAACTAAAATAGAATTGCAGGTAACTTTGAATCTAAGATTAATCCTAACAACGACAACAACAACAAGAACACCACAAGATTAAAGTTTCCAAACCCTCTGTTAACAAGCTGTTATCGTGGAAAATCTACCGCTATCTCTTATCTATCTCAAATTGTCCCGAAAAGTTAAGAGTAATTTGTCCTGGGTGAAATATCCATGTTTGTTTCTTAATGCCATCTCTTATCAATTAAATGTCTAATTAAATATAATAAATTCAGTCTCCACCTTCCCAACAAAGTCCAAATAGAAATGGTGTCCAGTTAAATGCAGTAAATCCATTCTTCAATCTTCCTCAGCTCTTCTAGGAAAAAAACAATTGGTCACTTCTCCATTCAGTCAGGCTTCTGTTGTTGTAAAAGAAGGCAGCCTTGAACTTCAAAGAGACGTCTCTTGGCAAGGTTTTTAGAAGGGGGTTGCCATTGCCGCCTTCCTAGGGCTGAGCCCACGTGACTGGCCCAGGGTCACCTGAGGGCTTTGTGCCCAAGGTGGGACAAGATTTCATGCTCTCCCACTTTGAACACAATGCCAAATGGCTCTCAATCCAACTTATTATGTGGTAATTAAATTAAATCACTGAAGCAGTAGGTGTGAACTTAAATGGACTCCAGAAGATGGTAGAGGACAGGAAGACCTGGAGGAACATTGTCCATGGGGTCGCGATGGGTCGGACACGACTTCGCAATTAACAACAACAACAACAATTAAACCTCTCCTTCAGGTGCTGTTGAAAGGGCAAAACGGGATCCACTTCGGCAGGCAGTTGCCCAAATCAGGCAATATATGATTTCACGGAATGCTGAGTATGATGCCCTTAACGGTAAGCAAAGAGTCCCACTCTGAAAGAGCACGTGCATTCCTGTCCACAAAGCCACCGAGTCAATTTTCCTTCCTCTAGCTAGATTGGTAAGTTACATCAGAATGGAAGGAGCATTCGCATCCATCTGCTGCTTATATAATCGCTTTGTTCCCTGTGTCATCCGTCTGGTAAACTCGTAAGATTCATTTTTCTCACCACGCACATGTATAGATAAGCCGGACTACATTGTTGTGTCTCTGTGTCATATATGTGGGTATATGCCTAATTCTGTATTTATTTTATTTATTTTTGTCATAGTTATGTAGTGTATATCGGAGGTGGTGACCCTTTGAGAACCGTATGCAGTGAAATTTTATTTTAATGTATGCCGATTAGTGTATATTCAAAGTGATAATAAAGTTATTATTCTATTCTATTCTATTCTATTCTATTCTATTCTATTCTATTCTATTCTATTCTATTCTATTCTATTCCATTCCATTCCATTCCATTCCATTCCATTCCACTCCACTCCACTCCACTCCACTCCACTCCACTCCAACTTTCAGTCCCAGGATGATGTCAGAACAAATTAAGGAAGAGGGAAAAAGACTGGGGGGAGGGATTCCAGAAGTTATCAATATTCCCCATGGGAAACTCTGACTGGACTTTGTCACAATGTCCTTGAGGAACTACTCAGTCTGCTTTAGACACTTGCAAGCTGCAGAGACCGACAGATACTTTCAGAGGATTGGAAGGAAACACATTCTGGATAAACCCAGGAGGCAGCCTCGGATCTGAAGAGGTGATCTTGCTGCGTGTGTTTCAGATACCGAAGTGCTCCTGGAAGCTGAGAAGGTGGCAGGACAGTTGATTCCATGGGCTCAAAAGATCAAAGAACTTCAAGCAGAGATTGGTAAGTTTTTCCACAGATTGTGATTAATAAGAAGCCGGATAGAGGGACAGCATTCTCCAAGCAGGCTTATTTTTGTTGTTTGCAATTTTATAGGCACCATCCATCAGGCCTGCAGATTAAGGCAGTACACCATGCTGGTTTTTTAAAGCATTGCTTGGGCAGATTGTCAGCTATCCCAACTTGGTCAGTTAGAAAAGAGAGACATTCAGGCTCACGATTAGCCAAAGGCCCACTTTCCTAAAGCAAATGGCTACAGCAGAAGCAAAGCTGGATCTGGGGTTTTCGCGCCCAAAGCACATGGTTAGCTTTCCCTTGTTCCCATCTAGCCTCCTGGTTATCAGCAAGTGTCCAAATGGGTGTCCCATAATCCTTTTTCACGAGGCAACTGGACTTTCTTGTTTTTCTTTGAAGACGTTTCTCTCCTTCAGCTGAAGAAGAGCTGAAGAGCTGAAGAAGCGAAACGTCTTCAAAAGAAAAACAGGAAAGTCCAGTTGCCTCGTGAAAAAGCATCTTTGGGACTACTACGATCTGGAGGACTGAGAATCACAACAGACATCCGATTAGGTGCTAACAAATTGCTTGGCTAACTGTCCCTGCCTTCGTGGGATGGATGGTTCTACATTTCTTTGTGTGGCCTTGGACTGGCCAGTATAGTTCACCCTCCCTTTTTCCCACTCCGCTTATCTCGGATTGCATATGGCGGGCTGACAGGAGCAATGGACGGGATCTAGCAGGATGGCAGTCCTGACACCGATTTTGCTTGCTCTGCTTAGGCAGATGGTTGATTGCTGGCAAAAATCTCCTAATCAAGAACTAGGGTTAAGGTAGTTCCTAGTGAAGGAACTACTAAGGAGGCTCCCACCAACACTGACAGGCAAGCCATTAGTATAAGCAGTAAACAGAGAATAAACCCCACTTCCTTCTGACACTGATGAGGTTACCTAGTTGGGTAATAAAACGTCTGCAAGAAAATAACCAAACTCAAGAGAGTTCCAAGGTTCAATCTTCAGGCCCAGATATTCTATCCAATTTTAATATATTTAGATTTGAACATTTTTCATACCGGACTTGTAATTTTCCTCCCTCAGCTCTTCCCCCTTTGCGCTACTCTCTTATTCTTTTTTCTCTGCCCCGTCTCCCCCAATCACTATCAACTAAGACACCTCACGGACATTTTTGTAGGTGGAAAAGATGTGGTTGAGATTACGGATCTCCTTTTGTAATCTGGCCATCTTATAACGAAAAGCAAGGAAGCCAAGAATTCTCAGGATAACATGTCCCTGAAGGAAAACACCTTGAAAACTTTATTTATGCCCTATGTTCTTTTTTTCTTAAAATACGTTTTTTTTAAAAAAAAAAATGGATGAAAGTATTTGCCTAACTATGGTCCTTCTCATTTTTCTTTCTTCTTTCCCTCTTCATGTCCCAATCCTAATTTGTCTCAAAGCTGACCTTCATTACAAACTGAATCACGAATGGACGGCCTATAACAACCACCTGTATTTATTTAATTATGAGTCCCTGAATTATGATGACACAATGAAACTATGCAATAAATCGAAATCTTTCTTAACTGATATTCAAGATGACACAGAGGAGGTAAGCGCCCTGCCCTTCTCCCTCTCCTGATGGAATGACTTTGAGGTTTTTCCCTTCGGCTTTTGCTTTGTCTCCACCGTCAGCCTGTAAATAATCTGTGGATTTTTTTCTTTCAGAGGTTCATAGAACAGGCAGTTAGAAAAAAATATGGTAGTTTCTGGATTGGACTGCGTTATTGGGACAGCAATTGGAAAGTGGAGATTACTAAAATTAAACCTCGTAAAACGTAAGTGCCTAATTCAGGTTTCTTTCTTATAGCCTGAAGTATCTTCAAATTTGAGAGAGGTGGCAGAAGATGCAGTATGTATAACAACAACAACAACAATAATGGTATTTGTATGGTGCTGTCACCACATTATGTGGTGGTCATTACAAATTGCTGCAGATAGATTGGGAGATAGAAACTTTCTCTTTGTATATGTATATATGTGTGTATGTGTGTGTTGGTGTATATATGCATGTGTGTGTATGTGTATAACTATCATATATATTTAACTATAGCTACTCTATCTATCTATCTATCTATCTATCTATCTATCTATCTATCTATCTATCTATCTATCTATCTAACGTAACTAAACAAGTAGACCAGTGAAATGCTGTGGACGTAGTAGACTTCAGTAAGGCATTTGATAAAGTAGACCACAACCTACTCCTTCGTAAGCTAGAAAAGTGTCGCTTCAGCTCATTTCTCTCCCCTGATACGCTTCTCTAGGACGGTCACGTACCACTGGTGGTATATGTACCATCAGTTGAAAAACCCTGGCCTAGAGATCCCATGGTCTGTCCAAGAGGAAAGAGGGGGAGATGTGTTGCCAAGATTTTGGTGAACTCCACCTCTATTTCTCTGCCAAAACAACCACAGACCAACATTTGGAGTTGTTGGAAACTCCCATTGAGGTGAGGGAAGAAGGTGAATGGATCGGACATTTATTTCCTGCTCCAAAGTCCATAAATAATACTCATTTTGTCTGGAGGACTGACGGTGTTTTTTTTCTTCTTTCCAGCTACTGGAAGTCAGGAAATCCAGGGAGAGGTGGATGTGCAAGAATGACAACTGAATGTAATACACATTTGCGATGTTGGATTAGTGCAGACTGTCATCAACGGGCAAGAGGCATTTGCAAGCAGAAACCTGAGAGCAAATGGATGTCCTAGCTCTTTACTGAACGTTGCACAAAATTGTACTTGATGAACCCAGTGAGAAAGAAATGCCACTCGGTGAACCTGCCTCTGAAAAACAGTTGCCCCAGTCAGCCAGTGTGGAGACATGGAAGAACTCAGGACTTTGACATCAGCTTCCAAACACCTTTTCCATCCTGCCTTTTCGGAGATCAAAGATACGGTCTTATTTAGCAAATTCAGGGGCAAGTAAAAAAGAATGAAAAAAGAAACTGTCTTTTCTGTGTTCATTCTATTTCGTTCAGCTTTATTGTTTGTAAGCTGCCCAGAGTCACTGAGAGTGAGTGGCCGGCTATATAAATCTTTAAATAAATAAAAAGAACTACATGCCGGAGTATCGAAACCCCCCCCAGGGCCCATGTGCACCCCACCCTCTATCCCAGGATTTGCCATCCAAGTCATAACGGAGGTTTGATTTATCACATCTCTACTCTGCTGCCTTCAAAAGGTCCTTGGCTGACATAGAATACAAAAGAAGGGTTCGCAACATCCATGGTGTTTGAATACACCAAACCACATGAGAGGCTCAACAAGAACAAGAAAAGCATCACTAAACAAAAAGACAAACGGGAAAGCTGAAAAACTGAGACATCGTAAAACCAGCGGAAGTTTCTCCCACACAGCTCCGTCTCCCACAATTTCAGAAATGTCCACCAATAGGAGACCAAGTTAATCTCCTCCAGGAGGCAATTCCACAATGTTGTCACAACTGGGGCACTAAACTTTCCTCTGCCCCAGACCTGCTGAACGTGGCCACTTGGTAGGACCACCCTAGCTGGTCTGACTGGTCAGGGCCAACAAAGAGGGTCCTGTGGGGCCCCCAACCCTAGTCAAAACCAGCCCCTGGAACTCAATCCGCAGCCGATAGAGCCTCCCCCACCTATCAGCGACGCATAGTGGGGACTCTGCAGAGCTTGAGGAAGACCGAGCCGTTCTTTGTTCCTTCTCACTCTCGCTTGGCTTTATTTCAGGAAACAGGCTGTTGGGTCTGGAAATCCGGCACGCCTTAGTGGAGGAAGATTTCTAGAGTGGCAGCAATTAAACTGGTTTGAGTTTCACCTCCAGACATCATCCAGACAAGGACCAGCAGTGCTGATAGAGGTAGCAGTGCCAAGGGACAGGCACACCAGGAACGAGGAGGATGGGAAGCGGGAGAAGAACCAGGGTTTGAAGGAGGATGTTGAAAGTCAAAGCCAGAGTAGGAGCGCTCAGGGCTGGGACTCCTTAGCGGGAGAGGGGCTCCGATCCCAGTGCTCTTTGTCCGGAAGAGTGAAGGGACAGCGAAGAACCCTCAAACTGTGGCAGAGGACCTCAAATTGAGGAAGACACAGGCCACCCATGAGGGTGAGGAGGTTTTTGGGGGGGGTTGCGAGAGACTGTGTCTGCAGCAAACTACACAGCCTCAAATTAATTGCACAGCTATGGTGACATCACCATTCAAATGCCATTATGACAGTGAGAACAATTAATCAGTGGAACAGCCTGCCTCCAGAAGCAGTAAATGCTCCAACACTGGAAGTTTTTAAGAAGAGACTGGACAGCCATTTGTCCGAAATGGTGTAGGGTTTCCTGCCCGAGCAGGGGGTTGGACTAGATGACCTCCAAGGTTCCTTCCAACTTTACTACTACTACTACTATTATTATTATTATATTTATGTCTTTTTTTTAAACAGTAACTGAATGGCGATCCCAGAGATTGCATCTCCTTCCATGTCTCTCTGGGGTGAAGCCATTTCAGGCTGAAAGAAGCAAACATGGATTACACACCTACATTCTGACGCACAAGTGTCAGGTTCTTCCCCTCTCCCTTTATGGCTACTCTAAGCCAGTCTTCTCCAGGGAGGGCGCTGTCTCTTTAGAACATCTCTGTCTGGGAACACCTGAACTAGGAAAACCAGCAATTGTTTAGAGTGAAGGAGGGAGGGAATCTCACCCTGGGAACTCCTGGATGAGAGTCGCCCCAGGAGCATGGGTGGGGGAACCTGGGGAAGCAGCAGTGCAACCCATAAAGCACAATTAGAAGAGAGCAGGGTGTGCCCGGTTCCTGATGCAATAAGGAAACCAGAAATAGCTCCTCCTCTGGGTGCACGGCTGGGAGCAGGGGGGGGGAACTATCAAATCTGGCATATGGGTCACCCCACATTCGCATCTAACATGCATCTAGCTGCACAACTTACGGCAGGACAAGAATTACATTAATATGAAAGAAACGCTGGGATGGAATCATTAAAGAAAGGATGCAAAAGGAGGGACAGAGTGAAATGTGAATGACAAAAGTTAAAATTTATTTTTATTTATTTGAAAGAGTTGAATTGTTAAATTGCCCCGTGGGAAGTTGCCCTGTGGTAAGCTGGCCGTGGCGAGTTGGCTGTGGTGAGCAGTCCCATTCCGCCTTTCATTCTACCGTATCCCCAAGTCCTTTCAAGTGCATCACTGGGACTTTGAAAAAAAAAAAACTCAACGACACGGGCCCGGTTCTGTTCACCGTGAGATAAAAAAGAATCTGAGACCCTGGAAGAGTGCAGAGAAGAGCAACAAAGATGATTGGGAGAGTGAAGGCTGAAACATATGAAGAACGGCTTCAGGAACAGTATCTTTGCCATGACGTGATGTGCCGGTGCCTGGAAGATGTGAGGGTCTGGATGGGGGTGAACAGGCTTAGACTCAACCCTGACAAGACCGAGTGGCTCTGGGTCTTGCCTCCCAAAGGCCAACTGGATGGTCCATCTTTAGTCCTGGGGGGGGGCAAATTTACCTCCCTCAGTGCAGGCACGCAACTTGGGTGTCCTCCTGGACTCACAGCTAAATTTGGAACAACATCTATCGGCTGTGGCCAGGGGGACCTTTGCACAGGTTTGCCTGGTGCACCAGTTGCGGCCTTATTTGGACCGGGAGGCTCTACTCACAGTTACTCATGCCCTTGTCACTTCAAGACTGGACTACTGTAATGCGCTCTACATGGGGCTACCCTTGAGGGGCAGCAGTTGGTTCAGAATGCAGCCTCGAGAGCGATTGTGGGTGCACCAAGGTACACCCACGTGTCACCTATCCTCCGCGAGCTGCACTGGCTTCCTGTGGGTCTCCAGACGCAATTCAAGGTGTTGGTTGTCACCTTTAAAGCCCTTCATGACTTAGGACCAGGTTACTGCCGCATAGTTCCCAGAGACTGGTGAGGTCCCACAGATTGGGCCTCCTTCAGGTCCCCTCAATGTCGGCTGGGGAAGGGCCTTTTCTGTGGTGGCTCCAACATGGTGGAATCAACTTCCCCCCGAGATTCAAACTACTCCCACCTTGCCAGCCTTCAAGAAAGCCATTAAAACTCTCCTGTTCCAGCAGGCCTGGGGTTGATGTCCCCGGGGGGACCGGGATATGATTGGGACTCATGAATGAGTGAATGTACTAATTTTTATTGTTATATTTATTGTTTTAATTTTGTACGCCGCCCTATATGAAGGTCAAGAAGCAACAGTAAGAAGTGGACACGGAACCACTGATTGGTTCAAAATTGGAAAAGGAGTCCGGCAAGGCTGTATACTGTCGCCCTGCCTATTTAACTTATATGCAGAGCACATCATGAGAAAGGCAGGGCTAGATGAATCAAAAGTTGGAATTAAGATTGCCGGGAGAAATATCAACAACCTAAGATATGCAGATGATACCACTCTAATGGCAGAAAGTGAAGAGGAACTAAAGAGCCTCTTGATGCGGGTGAAGAAGGAGAGTGCAAAAGTTGGCTTGAAACTCAACATTAAGAAAACCAAAATCATGGCATCCGGCCCTCTCAATTCCTGGCAAATAGATGGGGAAGAAATGGAGGTAGTGACAGATTTTATTTTTCTGGGCTCCAAGATCACCTCAGATGGGGACTGCAGCCAAGAAATTAAAAGACGCTTGCTCCTGGGGAGGAAAGCTATATCTAGACAGCATACTAAAAAGCGCTTGCTCCGGGGGAGGAAAGCTATGGCAAATCTAGACAGCAGACTAAAAAGCAGAGACATCACCCTGCCAACAAAAGTGCGTATAGTCCAGGCCATGGTTTTCCCAGTTGCAATGTATGGCTGTGAAAGTTGGACCATAAGAAAGGCTGAGCGCAAAAGAATTGAGACCTTTGAACTATGGTGCTGGAGAAGACTCCTGCAAGTCCCTTGGACTGCAAGGCGTTCAAACCGGTCAGTCCTAGAAGAGATCAACCCCGACTGCTCTTTAGAAGGCCAGATCCTGAAGTTGAAACTCAAATACTCTGGCCACCTAATGAGAAGGAAGGACTCACTGGAGAAGGGCCTAATGCTGGGAAAGATTGAGGGCAATAGAAGAAGGGGATGACAGAGAATGAGATGGCTGGATGGAGTCACTGAAGCAGTAGGTGTGAACTTAAATGGACTCCAGAAGATGGTAGAGGACAGGAAGACCTAGAGGAACGTTGTCCATGGGGTCGCGATGGGTCGGATACGACTTTGCAATTAACAACAACAACAACAAGTTCAGGGGTAGGCAACCTTGGCTCTTTTATGATTTGTGGACTTCAACTCCCAAAATTCCTCAGCCAGCCACGATGAGGAGAGGTTTCCAAGCTGAGGCATGCTGGCTCAGGAATGCTGGGAGTTGACGTCCAGGAGTCATAAAAGAGCCAAGGTTGCCTACCACGGATCTAGTTTAACGAAGAGAAGGACCAGGGGGGACATGATAGCCGTGTTCCAGTATCTCAGGGGCTGCCCCAAAGAAGAGAGAGTCAGGCTATTCTCCAAAGTGCCCGAAGGCAGGAGAAGAAGCAACGGATGGAAACTCATCAAGGAGAGAAGCAACCTGGAACTCAGGAGAAATTTCCTGACAGTTAAAACAATTAATTAAGCTCAGAGAGCACCAAGGACCCCACAGTCCTCCTCCTCCTCCTCCTCCTCCTTCTCCTCCTCCAACCTTTCGGAATCCTTAGGAAAGGGGAGGGTATTATTTGTGTCCCCCACCCCAACTGCATTCAGAGGAAGGCCACTGGCCTGTCCCCCCAGCGGCCTTTCCACAGGAACTCCTTGAAACATCTCACTCTAATTTCACAAGGCGACTGTCCGTCAGAGAGGCGATTGTTACTCCAAGTATCGTATTTTCTCCCAGAATACAAAATTATGGCAATTCGAAAAAATTAAGGTTTTAAAACCTTCACAGGTTCGTTTGCAAGCAAGCTTCAATCATAACTAAAAAAAAATATTCTGTATATATT